CAATATCAATATGGTATAAGGTGTCTCATCCGCATCGAATTCATTTTATGATGGAACATTTATACAACTTGCATCGAGTACAAACCAACGCCACAGGCTTGAATTACAGTATGTACACAGCCTTCCATCCAAACATGACCGCTTATATCAATTCTCCTCGATTTCTGAACCCGTTCTCTATGATACAATTCCCAAATGAACGCTGTTTGCGATGTTCCAATTCTCGCACTCTCACATTTTCATTGGCAAAATGGCAGGCATGCCCCAGAGTTCTCGTGGAGACTTCAAGGATGTATATACTCCATAATAAACTCTTGTTTTGTTTCAAAGAGTATGACGCCTGTGTTACCCATTCATACGTCAGAGTGTCGGACAATATGCAGTTCATTGGGGTGTGCGTACATCAGTACTTACAAGCGATTAGAAATACTTATATTGGTGTTAAAGAAGGCACAAGAAGTGAAACAGTTTTCATCATTTGTCTCTTAATCTCTCTATTAGCTTGTTTACTGCATTCGATATCCACCGTTTTCTTGATAGAAGAATGGACACCTCTCATTCTCTGTCAAATGGGTCAGTCATTCTCCTACTTTGCCTTGAATTTTTTCCTCATTTTGACTAGACTAGTTTTTCTAGGCGAGATTGTCTGTGCTGTATTTGGAATGGCGATACATTTCCTTGTCCTTCTTGTCGCGGGTTGGTCTAGCGTTGTTTGTGTTGATCTAGCTCGTGCAATCCATATGTTAATGATGTCTGGTGTTCGGATCAAGATGAGACTATCACGGTTCGCTTCTCATGCTGCCATAAATTCTACGCTCTGTTTCCTTTTCGTCACATTTAACGCATTTATCATAAATGATTATGAAAATGATTCTTTTCTTGGATATTCCCTTTCACGTTGTGAGATTTCCTCCATTAACATGAGTCTGTACACCATAGGAATACCCCTGAGTTGCATGCTTATTGTTGACTTTGCCTCTATCTTTTATATTTCACATAACGTCAAGGGCCTTTACACTCTCATGCACTGCCCTGAACTTACAATGGTGAAGTCTTTTTCGGCTGTTTCCTTCTTTGTCTGGCTTTGTTGGGTCTTGGATTACCTTGTGGTGCTCTCAAACATCTCCATCTTTGCCTCACTTCGGCAACTTTTTACGGTTGTAAATGGAATTGTCATTTTTGTTGCATTCAGCCCTGTTTTCTTTGAAGAATGAAGTTTAATCATTTCATAAAACATTAGTATAAAAGGAAATCAATATGATTAGTATTTAAGGTCCGAGAAATGTATTTTTTTTATTTCCCTTTATACTCTCTAAAAATAGCCCCATACAAGTCTTCACAATGAAGTCAAATTTTCAACAAAAATCTAACCAATCACAGGTCTTTAACTTTTATGGTACATGTAATATGTGGAGACAATTCGGATAACTGTATGTATAATTTAAGGTCAGTTGGGAGAGGGATGAAAAAGAACATACAAGAAAGTATACAAAACGTTCATGGAGTAGAAAAGCCTCTTAGGAGGAGGAAAAGAGGACATAATATGAGGAGGAGGAGGGAACGTCTGAGGAAGTGGATACACGTCCTAGGAGGAAGACATAGCAGGAGGAGGAGGGAATATCTGAGAAAGTGGTCGAACGGCCTAAGAAAAGAAGGGGACATGCTAGGACACAAAAAAGAATAAACGTAGTGGACTATTGAATAATGACTAATGGACTAACTAATAAAAAAGACATGCAAATATATTATCGAAAATATCTTGTTACATGTACATATAGTAAAGCGCCTTGATTAATTATGGAACTTTTCCTTTTAATGTGGTTCAATGTCCGAGCGTCTATACAAAATAAAGGATATGTGTTGTAAAATGATGTATGTGATGATTAAAGTGATCTTCATTGTATATATTTGGTTTTTAATGGGTAAAATGACCCCTCCCTGATACTATATGCCTGATGTTTATGTGATTGACAATAATTAAAGGTCCAAAACAACTAACAATATACAGTGTATTTCATAACCTAATCGACAAGAGATTTATACTTAATTCATTAGTTGTATAATGTATACAGTTTACATGCGTATCAAAGTACAATGCTCAGATTAAAGCTCAACTACACTGCTTATCATAAATTAAACCCCCCTCTAGTTAATACCTGTTACGGTCATAAAAATATCAGCCAACCTAATCGTTTTGAATTTTTAACTCACGATTTTAAACATTTGTTTTTATAGTTTTTTAAATTTTTTTTTAAAAAATGAGCCTATCCGACTTTCGGAATTTTCGAATGTAGCAAAGCTTCTAAAGTTTTCAAATACCCGATTGATTGATTGTGTATTATTTTACGTCTCTCAAATTAAGCTAAATCAGATAAAGCTGTTCTTTTTTTCTTAATTCCAAGAATACAGTTGGATTAGATTAATTAGAGATTAAATCAAAATTACGATATGTACATGTATCCCTTACCTGAAAGGCCGCTGGATTCGTCAGCCCTTGTCAACTACAGCTTTTGTAGGTCACCTGAGTCAGTCACGTCGTGCGTCGTTCGTCGGCAGTCGTCTGTTAACATTTAGACATTTTCAGCTTCTTCTCTGGAACCCCTCAACCAATTTCAACCAATTTTGGCACATAGCATTCATAAGAAAAGGGGAACAAAATATATTAATTTCATGATCCTTACCCCAATGGGGCCTGGTGGGGCTAAAACATAAATCTTCTTCTTTACTTCTGGACATCAAACAGCATGACTTTTGGAATGATTGTAATAAGCATTGAGCCCTCTACTAAAATTCTTGGCCCCAGGATCAGTGGTTTTGGATTTAGGGTGGGTTCTATTGATCGTATAGTGAAAATGCACAAATTCTTTAAAAAACTTTTTTCTACCCCTGTAGATTTTGAAGAAAACTTAGTTTATGGATATAATTAGTAAGAGTGCTTCTTCTTAAATTGTGAAATTCATGGCCCCTGGACCTGGGGTTTTGTTAGGGAGGGGTTCTATATATTATATAATGAAAATTCATTAATTCTTTGAAATTTTTCTTCTCTCCTCCTAGGTTTAGCATATGAACTAAGTGCATTATCATGATGAGCAAGAGTTCTTCTACCAAAATAATGAAATTCATGGCCCCTGTTTCAGGGGCTCTGGTGTTAGGCGTGGCTTTATTGACTTTATAGAGAAAATGCATCAATTATGTTAGATTCTTCTCCTCTGCTCCTCGGTATAAAACAGATAAACTAAGTCCATTGTAATAATGAGTAACAGTGCTTCTTCCAAAACTGAAATTCATTGCTACAGGGTCAGGGGTTCTGGTTTTATGGCGGGGCTCTATTGATTCTGGAGTGAAAATGCATTAATATCTTCAAAATATTTTCTGCTCCTAAGGATTAAGCAGATTAACTGTGATTTTTTTTATGATAAACAAGGATTCCTCTTCCAGAATTGTGAAATTCATGGCCCATCGATCAGGGCTCTGGTGTTAAGACGAGACTCTATTGATTATATAGCGAAAATGCATTAATTCTTTGAAAAGCTTCTTCTACATGTATGCTATGGGTTATTTTAGCAAATAAACTAATAAAAGGGCATTATCATGATGAGTAAGGGTTCTTCTTCCAAAATTCTGGAATATATGGCCCCGAAGACAGGGGTATTGTGTTACGGCGGGGCTCTATTGATCATATAGTGAAAATATATAATTCCTTTAAAATCTTCTGCTCTTCTTCTAGGGATTTAGCAGGCAAATTAAGAGTGCATGATTTGGTGTGCATGGGTTCCTCTTCAAAATTTTGAAAATCATGGCCCCTTGGCCAGGAGTTCTGATGTTAGGACTGGGCTCTATTGATCATATAATGATTATTCATTATTTTCTTTGAAAATCCTTCTCTGCTCCTAGTAATTAGCAGATTATTGAGCAAGGTTGATTTGCCAGATTTGTGAAATCCTTGATCACTGAGTTAGGGGTTGTAGTGCTAAGCATATCTATATTAATCATTATGAAAAATTGTATTTTATTTGGAGAGTAGTTAATCCTTTTTTTACTCACCTATGTTATTTAAAAACTGTAAATAATGTTAATGATTGGTCAACCAAATAGAAGAATCATACGAGAATGTCTTATGTTTAATACAAAATGTACCTACAGTACTAGTGTATTTAGATTGTAATGTTTTTTAAAGGTATAATGTAAAAAGTATCATTTAGTTTTTAATGGCCAGGTAGATTTGTAAATAATAGATGAATAGAAATTAAAAAAAAAACATCTTATTTGTATTTCAAAGAGCAAGAGAGCCCCCGTGGCATAATAATTTCACAGTGTTTATATAATTGTTTATCATGCTCAGGCACTAAATTTGGTGATGTTGATAGTATATACATATTATAGGCAAGTAAATACATCTACTTTTGAGTAGTGTTTACTGATTATCATATTATCTATTTAGTCCATCCCCAGCTGATTTTTCTATTTCTGTTGTTTTTGAGCAGCATATCTTCATCTATCATTGTATTTTGTTTTAATATATACAAGTAATTATTAAACTGTCATATCATTGATTATTGATATCAGGGTTGTATAATACTCAGGTGACTATTAAGGCCCTTGGGCCTCTTGTTTATTTATATAATTTATCGATTTGCTTTGTAAAAACTTCAATGCAGGTTCTGAAAAATGGCGGGTCTATTAAATACTAGCTTTACTACCACGGGCAGGAGCGAAATTTTAAAATGAAATTCTGCTGTGTAAATAATATCTTCAGTCTTTTCACCATTAAAACTCTTTATAACAGTCATAGTCTTCCTAACTGATTATGAGATTTGCACTGTACGCAAGTCAACAATCATTGATGTTTCCCACTACAGAACCGTCCATTAAAACGGCAGAACATATATCACGTATACGAACAGCTTTATAGCTGCACGGATGTATCCTATACAAATTTATCCTCCTTTATCCTTCTCACATTTAACCGATTTTTTTCGAGACGTTATCTTAAAACGGTTATCCACTTACGGGTATATGAAATGTGAAAAAAGTCAGAAATTGCAAAATGAATGGGATTATATCATCTCATTTTCATAACAGATATTCAGTGAGAAGTGCTTGTGTGTGGTTCACGGTAGTTATTTCCTTGCTTAAACGTGTGACATGTTATAATATAGATACAGAACACCCTTTGATTTTTCATGGAAAACCTGGATCTTATTTTGGCGTGACAGCTGAAATTGTCGTGGAATCAAAAAAATGGTAAGAAAAACTTCCAGAATATGGATTCTTCTTTTTTTGCAATATACGTGTAATTAATTTGATGTGCCCAATTTTATCCCTTAAGAAAAGTTTAGATTAAAGGAAATGAAATATTTCATTTATCAACAGAATATAAAGCTAAGTCTTATTAGATCTGGGTTTTATGTAAACAAGTACCTCTTACTAAGGAAATTTTAAATCTCTTTCTGTTAATCAATTGTTTACGCCGGGTGTGACCGGTCAACAGGGCATGCTTACTCCTCCTAGGCAACTGAATCCACCTCTGGAAGTTCCGGGGATTCGTGTTTTATGCCCTTTTCACAGATTTGTATTGTTTGTAGATTTTTTTTTAGATCGATCTCTGTTCGTTATCTTCACCTTTTTCATTTACAATGTACTCTAATTTGTAATGTATTCGAATAAGTCTTATACGGCAAAGAACTATATACGGTATACGGGATGTTCCTGTCCCCATATTAGGAAAGTTTTGAAATTCTCCTGTAAATTTGCATAATTGCATAAATTGTATTTTAAAAAAAATCTGAATTAAGAAACTATTTATAAAATGAATTGAAAAAAATAATCGACACTTCTTTGTCTCTGTGACACCATAAACCATTGGGATTTGCTTTTTTACAAAATGAAGAAAAATTAACAACGTTTTCAATTTTTTCCTAGAGCAAAGTTGTTCAAGTACAATATTCACATATTGCATTGATATGATCATTTTTCACATTATATCAAAAGATCAAGTTTAAGCACACCTGCCTTTGATATTTTTCAATCACAATATCAGCGTGAAACACAGTACATGTGTTTTCTTTCATAGTCGTTGACATTTTGAATTTTGTGCCATTTTCTTGATGTCATAACTCACCAATATTGAATAATTCTCACAACATTTTTCCCTGATTTAAAACATGAAAAAGTATGAAAGACGAATAGGCTCATTTTTGACAAGATAAAAAAATATTTTACTCGTTAAAACGAGAAAATTATCTCGTTATAACGAGTTATTATCTCGTTATTACGAGATTATTATCTCGTTATGATGAGTTAAATTATTTTTTTTATATTGAAAAATGAGCCTATCCGGCTTTCGTAAATGCAAATTTCTTTGAAAGGGGGGGGGGGGGGAGCACTTCCTCGGCGTTCAACGTTTTGTGAGTTAAAATAAAAATAAGACTTTAAACTTTTGATTTCCCCAACCGTGTTTTGATGTTTTATTAGATTCGATGTTCGAATGTAGCATTTGCCTGAACATTACAAGGTTTATTTTCATAGAAATTATTATGCAAGAAGGTTAAAGATGTTATTAATGTCTGGCGTTAGTGTTTTGTTTAAATTCAGAACAAGCTTATATGGAAAGCAAAAATATTTGAAAGATAAACAATTTGTCAGAATAAAAAGTTTTTAGACAAACAGTTGTATTTCATCAATCGACATGTCCGAAATTCATTATCAGATTAAAAAACATTTCACCGACGAAATAATAAGGTATTTTTTAAGCCAGTTTTATAGCAAACTTTAGTAATGGTGTTGAAACCGTTTTGTTGACTTTGTTTATTATTCATCATACACTGTAGCATGCTATCAAATGCTTCTCGTTAAAAAAAAAAATATGCAGAGAATTCACCCTTGCAGACCGAAATCAATATAAAACTCCACAGATGTTTGCACTAATTCTAGTACATGCGTTGGTTAGATAAAAATATGTCTGTGATTCGATTGCATTACAGAAGGGCATATTATAAAATCTGGCCTGGCCTCACTAAGCTGGTCGTGCCCAAAATTTTGCCCCGGATATCATTCTTTATAGCGCTCTCGAGCGCTAGCAAATACGTTTACTAACTAGGTAGTCTTTTCCACTGGCATGCGCATGCTCAAATTCATGTGAAGACATTCTGAGAAAAAGATGTCATGTCAGTTTTGCATTATCATTTGAAGTTTTGTGTTTTAATTTTTCCTCTTACCTGTGCCAACAAGTACCACATGTACACCCTATTATGACATGAAGAAGAAATCAGTTATATTTCTTAAATTGATAATAAAAAGCAATCTGTGTTGCAAATGCCTTTGAAATAACGACTAAGGTTGAGAACGCATTTCAAAACCAAAACCAGGTTGCAGCCATTTATAAAATAATTATTCACTCATGAAATAAATATTTTAATAGTGGTAGAAAATGCATTTCAAAAATAACACAACATTACAACATTACAAACACTACTGAAATAACCACCACTATTGAAATAATTATTTCAATAGTTTTCGTTATGTAACATATAATAAACAACTATTAAAACAAACCCATTATTCAAATAAATACTAGTGTAATGATTGATTTTGATATTATCAACAAGTATAAGTGTAAGCAAGTGACACACTCTCTCTATCGTTTATAAAATATAAATATATAAATCTTATTGAAGAATAAGAATAATTGTATACCTGTTTTGTTGTCATTTTTATAATCTTCAACAGATTCATTGTCTCACATGTATGTAATATTATACATCTCGAAAAGGTACTTCTTTTCGCATTACGTCAGACTCTAGGGAACTCCAATCATTCAATTGGCAGCAAAATTTAAGTATTATGAATTCTGTCGAAGATTACACCAGGCGATGGGTCAACTATGAAGGGAAATATGAAAATCATCTATCCTTCTGTCTCCACGCAGCTAGGTTAAGGACTCCCATATTTACATCAGCCTATGCAGAGATTCGGGAAAGCTATTGTGACGTAACGTTAAAACAATATAAATGAATCTCAATGAATAAATACTCTATGTTCTTCTTAAAACACACTCAAATACTTTCGCTTCTCAAAAATATTATAAAGATATATGGATGTGCTACTTATCTTGCCATAATATCACAGAGCGAATGTAGAATGAAAGCCAGCTTGACCTCGCTGTACTTACTGAGATGACGTCATTTCTTAGTTTGACATGCAGTTTCTCTGTTCTTGTTTATATAATCCGTAATGTAATATTATTCCAGTGCGTATTACATTTGTGTCGGGAGTTTATAGAAAGACGGCTAAATTTTACACAATTCCCGAGCAGAAGGGAGTTGCTCCCAGCACTTTTCATGTTAAGGAATTTGTCTCAAACAAAACAGAATAAATTTGATAGCGATCTTTGTAGTAGTACATACATGTTCTAATTTTAAACCTGTCACGTGACAAACAGCTGACGTAAGCGATTTCGCTTTGGCCGAACTCAGCAGAGACCCCATATATACAAGTGCAAACACCATAATTCACATTCGTCAAAACTAATGCTGTTAAAAAAAATATTTAAAATTGTATTCATTTTCTCTGAATATATTAAGGCGTATATTTCATGGGCATCCTCAACCTACCTGCGCAGAATAGAAAAAGGAATTAGATGGATTACACGATTAATATGTACATGTACTTGTCCCAGCTAACAAAACAGATAACAACATAGTCTTTGTTTGTAAGGATCATTATAACAATTACCTTTTAGAAGAACATTTCAATTTTGCTAAGGGTAATCCAACTTAGAGTTCCCTTTCTAAGGCTAAAAATTTTCAAAACCATATTTCCTTTTTAAATACTCTTAAATTCCCAACAATTAAATTGAAATCGAATTATGATATCTCTACTGGATTCCAAAACTTCATGTATAAAAACTCTCACAAAGACACATAACAGATTCTATAGTAAATGGTTTTACAAGCCTCTTTCTTTAGTTCTCGTGAAAAAAAGCTAACAGCTGTGATCAAGGAGCGCTGTTTATCAGATGTGAATAGTTAAAATCTTTTTAGAGACTTTAAGAAAATTTGAGATCACATTATATTTTACCAAAATTAATATCATTAATACAGTACGACTTTTAAGACTTAATACAAACATTCCTCACGAAAAATTAAAGACGCATGCCATCATACATAGCTGCTTCCTATATTAAAATGGAACAGGTTTTAAGCACCTTGTCATTGGTTATCTTATTTTGTTAAGTAACTTTATACACAGATTCTACACATAAGTATTACGAAGTTAATACCAAAAGATATAAAGAGGCATTTAAAAGATGCATGAGTTTATCATTGACAATGTCTAAGCATCTTTGAAGACCAGGTCTTCCAACATTCTGTTGGAATTTCCACGGGTATTATTTGTGCCCCATTTTAAGCAGATCTGCTTTTGTATTCTTAATCAAAAACTTCTATACGAAAAGATGAAGTCCTTTGTTTTGGTCATCTATTCGATATTTTGATAGATCGACGTCTTAAAAATAAACAATATTCATTTCAATTCTATATTAATTTAATATATCCCATTTAACTTGAAATGTTAGACACCAAATAGACAAATATATTTCGTATTTGGATGTTTCACTAGGAAAAGACATTGATGGCAAAGTACAACTTAACTTTAAGATAAACGTGAAAACTTTAAGTTTTCTTTCGTTATTGTCGCTTATTTTTTAAGCAATTTAACATTATCACCTGCATATGGGGTTTATGTCTCCCAGTTGATTCGATACGCAGGTTCATATTCTACGTTTGAACAATGTCTAAAACAAGAGAGGCTACTGACAAATAAGTTAATATGCAAGATATCAACAACATGGTTTAAATCAATATTTTGCAAATTCAATGGTCGATACAATGGCCTTGTTTGCAAATACAATGTATCTTTAAGTCAAATGTTGACTGAAGTCTCATAAAAATTGTTAAGGCATGATTTTCACACTAAACACTTCACGGATTTTTACGTTTACCCGATCATGACAAAGAAAACACAGCGGGTGTGACCGGTCGATAGGGGAAGCTCCCTCCTCCATGGCACATGATTCCACCTCTGTTTTTAGAGATCCATCTTTTCTTTGCTCATAAAATGTACTGTTTAAGTGGACTTTAATTATGATTACTGTTCGAAACTTCACCACGTTTCATGATCAACCGCTAAATATACAAACAAATTTGAATCATTAAGCGTTGAGGTTGCGCCCTTCATTGATAAAAAGTATAAATTGATCGCCAATCTTTGATCGAAAAGCACGTCTACCTTTCCCTTTATCTTCCTACCAATAGTAAAACATGTGTACTATTACTTGCTAAATCATCTGCACATTTGCGTCATTTTGCTTCCATACAAGTATTATTAAAGAATTTCTTAAAAGCTCTGTGTATTTAAGACCATTTACGTCGTTCCAAGGGTGGTTAAGCAACTTATTTAAACATACACGCATATACTTTTGGTATTATTGAGACATTCCATTAAATTTTACGTAGAAATTGTCAGTACAAGGAAAAGTAGCAGAAATGTTGGATAAAGAAACGAAACGATTTCCTGTTCATTTTTATAATTGTTCAACAAAATCAGAGAGATGTGTTCCTGATTCGAAACAGCATGATCTCGGCAATTAATCGAATACTAGGTGTATGTTTATTTCACTGAATCCTACATGCCCAGTTTAATGTTAAATTAATAGCGATTCTCTGTAACCACTTAAACTTCTTTGCCACGCATGGTCACCGATTTTGACGAAACTTTGCCCATTATTACAACTTGACACCAGAAACATATATCAAATAAAATTTCGTTGCTATGTGTCTTGGTTGCCATGGTAACAGCCAGAAAAGTTGGAAAAATTGAGATTTTCAGCTACTTTGAATCTTTATTAAGCCTTAATAGAGACTAAGAAAAACAAACAAACCATTCTCACAAATACCTGACACCTTGTTGCCACTTATGCTATAAAGAAACTATCTAGAATTTATCTCTAAGTAAGTGGTAACCATGGGTACATTTGGAATACATTTTAGATGCTGAAAAATGCAGGAAAACGCTCAATATTCACTAATGATAGGTGTTTAATGATCAAACTCAATCAACAATCTAAGAAAAAGCAATAAAAATATTTGACCTTAAGTAATTAGGTATTGGCAATATTATTCTAAAAATAACTTTCATGGTTGCCATGGTAACACAGTGTAACCATGCAAAATATGTTGCTAAGATTGGGTTAATGCTACTATTTTCAGGAAAAACAATAAAATTCATGATTGGCACATATACATCCTTAGGACCTTGCAACACCGACAACCTAAGAAAAATTGGGATTAATTGTTACTTTGCAGTGTAACCATGGAAACAATGTACCAGTTGTTTAAAGTGATATTTTTTTGCTGCCTTAGGAATTTACTTACTTTTTATTCAAGAAACATATTATTTGACTCACCTTGAATAGTACTTATCTGAAAGAACTAAAGTTGAATATCATATATTGATAACGTTTGTTAAAAAATACAACACTGTTGCTATGGTAACCAAGAAGGAAAAATGTTCGATTTTGTTAATTTTATATCAATATTAAACCCTATGTGCCACATTTTTTGCATCCAGTTAGAGATTGGGTGGCAGTCAAAATTGAAAGTCAGCTTAGTTGTTCATAATTATCAATCATAAGAGTTTTGGGAATCTACATACAAGAGTACGTATCCAAGGAAACAGAATATTTTTCCGATTTTTATGCATATTTTTTTCGGCTTATTTCCATAGCAACGCACTATTTAAAGAATTGAATTTGAATTTTTTGAAATGTGAAAATTAGAGTCACATGAACGTCTTTAAAAATTGATCATTAGTTATATAAAAATATGCTTTTTAAAGAGACAGGATAAGATTTAAACACTAAGAGAGTAAATTTAAAATCCCTTCTTGGTATTAAAACCATGGCAACCATTGCCATCCTATAAGAAATATCATATTTCTTCCTTGGTATATGTTACAAGGATCTTTTGTCTATTATTTGCTTGCATTTCAACCTATAATTTGTTTTATTCTTAAGTGTATGATTTTATAAAATTAAATGGGCAAAATTATTACATTTGAATACTTTGTTTCCATAGTAACGAATGTAATGGTTGATTTACCAAACATGTTTATCATGCATTTAAGACATCAGGCCTTCAACTTTCAGAAACAATCATTGCCAGTTGTTTGCGTTGCTGCAAACGTTAACTGTGGGACTCTGAACATGTTGAAAAATGCCATTTTTCAAACTTTAGGACATGTTGCCATGGTAACCATGACACGTAGCAACCATTTTCTGCCTGATTTGAGTTTACAGTATCAAAGACTTTTATCATAGAGAGTTTGGAGAAATTCTGAGACTATGCGTGCCACAGCTCCTATATAAAAGTTCAAGTCGTTACAGAGAATGGCTCTTAACTTGTTATCACACTAATTTTACAAAAATCAAAACATTCAATTTTGTGCTAAAAATTGCGTCTTTGTTGGGATTAACCAGCTGTTAGCAAATATATTGCCAAAGACATGTGTTAATGCAGAAGAAAATATCTGATGGGGGTCTTAATTACCTGGGGCTTTAATTAAGGTATATCACTCATAAACTTTTAAGTAAAGTTTGGTCAGAACCTCCAACTTCAAAAATATTTAGTACAAATCAATGTTTGTCTCATAACTTATTGGTACTGGTATGTTATATTAAAGTCTGTTTCCCCCCTCCAGAGATTTTCAAAAGGTTCTGAGTTATTTTAAATCCTAAACTCCTTGAATTATTAGAATTAAACAATGCAAATTTTACAATATTAAATCAGAAGACGACTCAAAAAAAAAAAAAAAAAAAAAAAAAAAACAAGATTTATTGGGTATTTTTTCTTGTAGTGGAAGGATATATAGATGAAATGTCTTCAAGTCTACACATGTCTTTGAACTTTAGCCCTACATATTTTTTCTTTATTAAATGATAGGAATATTATTTATAGGTTTTGATTAATATTTTTAGAACAAATTTTACACATTCATTCAACAAACTTTCACAGAAAATGAAGATATATTGAATGAGATAAGATACAACCTATTTTTTCTCCTGAAAATAGCATATTTTAACCAATACTTCAAAATGTACATCACTGACCCCAACTTTTTCTTTCGTTATTTTAAACTACACGATACTTTCAACCGATTAGCATTTAAGTCATAAAAAGGTTGATTCAAGAAAATATTTTATTGCCTGTTTAGATTTTTAATACCCTAAATATGAAAATTTTAGTGCAAAAAAGGTCGATAATAATTTACGCGCATTAATTTGCAGGATTTTTTCAATATACGTTGTAAAATCACTGATGATTTTAGACAAAGACTAAGGAAGGAAAATGCACTTGAGGATAATATTTTCCAATGATAAATTATATATTTCTTTGAAAAGTTGGAGGGGTAGAATGTGATTGGTTGGGACTGTCACTGTAAAAACGCCCTAGGTTTATTACATCATTCGAAACTGATTCGTATGCAAAGGCGATTAAACGCCTATCGTACCACTCTCAATCGGATGGCAGGTTAACAATTTATCCCCCCCCCCCCCAAACCACACACACACACACACACACACACAGAGAGAGTTTTCCTAGCTATATGAAACAAATAGTGCTATTTATTCCAGGGTCCTTGTTGGTGCTACAAAAGACAATTTCACCGACAGACCGGAAATTCCCTATCCTGGAAATGTTTATGCATGCCAGGTTGATTTCTATTCTAAGACCACTTGTACAGTTTTGTCTAAATTAAGGACTCCAGGTGTGTAGTATGTTCACAGCAATTAAGAATTGCGTGAGTTCTTGAACTACATGTACTTTCTTTCTTCATACAGTATTTCTTTGTTCTCAGAATATAATTTGCATAAACATTGAATATGATTGTAAAATTCAGCAATCTGTTTCTTGTATACAAATGTTCTCTCTATCTCTCAAATCCCTTGTTATAGAACTTCACGCAAACGAGTCACAGGACGTATTTGAGGAAAAACAACAACTTTTAGGGGCCAGTATTCTTGTACCAGAGGACACGACTAAAGCAATCAAGGTAATTAGAGAGATTCTCAAAAAAGTGTTTGGTTTAATTGAATAAATAGATAATAATGTACATATGTTCACTTTTAAACCAATTCCACTCTAAAAATTATAGATTTGCGCACCAAAATGGAAAAAAATACATTACTTCATACACCAAATCAGCGGAAATTGTTTCCTATTAAAAAATAGATCCGATCTTATGAATTATCCGGAATTATCCGAGATCAGGCGAAGATTATATTCAGGTGACTACGGAGCGCCGCTTACAGGATTCTCTCTTGCCGATATCCAGGTAAGTAACAAATCTTATACATGTTACTCAAATATTTTCAGATTTTTATTCATGAACTTTTATTTGAAGTTTTTCTTCTACCTCCATCTTAGGCTTTAATATTTTTAAATGTCGTTATTCATATGCATTCGCGGCTAACACAAGATAAAACCAAATATAGACACAAAATTAAAGCAGTTCTGGACATACCATCAACATAGTGTACCTGTAATTTCCATATGTCTTCAGGGAAAATGTCTACGGATTTTTTCGGTTTTTTTCCGATCATGACGGTGGGTGTGACTGGTCTGCAAGGGTTGCTCACTCCTCCACGGCACCTGATTCAACCTCTAAATTTTAAGATCCATGTTTGCTCTGCTCCACATTTGTATCGTTTCATTGGACTTTCGAGATTGAATACTGTTCGTTATCTTCATATTTCATTCATAGACATATGAACATGCAGAAATAACTTGATCAATGTGATAATACATGTCTATAATGTATTCAATAACTCTATTCTAATTGGTTTAATAGAAATGTTAAGACTACTTTTATTGTAAAAAAATTTGTATCATTCACAATAAATATCTGTTTATGCTATTTGAGAATTTAGGGCCGGCCATTCTAACTGCTTAAAATTACCATTAGATAGAATTAATTTTCTTCAGTATGCGATCCATGTATATATTGAGTCTCCCTAAATACATTTTTTAATCGGCCTCGTTTGCTCGGTAAGGTGAGGACCTTACTCAAGAAAGATTACCGGGCTCGATGTACTTTGCTTTGCCGCAGTTTCATTAGCTATGTTAATAAAGAAAGAAAAAAAAAATACATAACTAAAATGTGTATTTTTCATATGAATGGTTTGCGACTCTTCATTTCTAAAACGTATTGGAGAAACAAAAGAGAAATGTCACCAAACGATTTTAACTCTGCTTTGTATTCAAAGAGTCCTGTTTTTGAAACCCTATATGGTTCTCCCAATCTTGGAGAAAGAGCAACAGGTAAGGCTTCTTTACATTTGTACGTTCTTCAATATAAATAAAATCAGAACTTTTCTTCAAATATCTTAAATATACTAGTAATTTGTCTAAGACAGAGAAAATGGGATATTAAAATTGCTGTTGCATGTCTCTGTATATACATTTTGTAGGTCACATGAGTTAATCTGGTGACCTACATTGAGTTACTGGGGTGTTTTTATCCGTTGTCATGCGCCGAGCTTTGCATCATGCACAAACTTTTGAACATTTTATCTTCTTAATTCTCAAGAATGGATTTGCCAGTAGCAGGAAATGTTTGTATATTTTGGCATTTATAGGTCACAGGGAACACACCTTTTGAGTTTAATTGTGCTTGTGCCCCTAGGGTCTTGAGGGTTGTGGATAAGACCATCAATTTCAAAAGTTGTCTCCTTTACTCCTGAATTCAAGAAGGCAAACTCATCACGCTTATAATGAGCCATGAACCCTGTACCAAAATTGAGTAATCCATGGCCCCCTTTTTCAGGTCAATGCCAGAGGGGGTCTTTCATTGGTCATATATTGAAAAATATATTGAAAAAAAATGCAGACTGATTGCAAGGTTATATTGAGTTCATCACATTTTACTAAAAATCGTGAAATGTGCGACATTTGGGGCCAGGAACTTGGCCTTAGGATGGGGCTTTACTTGTCTTAAAAATACGTAAAATCTTTGAAAAAGCTTCTTCTCTATTCATGAACTTTTAGTAGGGAGACTTTATTATGATAAAGATTTAGCGCTCTAGCGGAACTGTGGAATTCTTGACAAATGGAATCAGGTCCCAGGCTGGGACTAAGATGATCAAATATTGACAATACATTACAAGCTGCAAATCCTCTTTACTTGTAGCGGGCAAATTGTTATCATGATTATAATCATAACAAAAGTTATTTATTAACTTCTTGGCCTCTGGGTACAGGATTTGAGCTGTATGGCGGCGCTTAGTAACATATTGAAAATTCTTTGTTTTTTCACTTATGGACATCAAACAGCGAAACTTTTAACCTGATTATAATGGGCAGTATAGGCCCTTTATAAAAATTAGAAAAAAAATCATGTCCCCAGAAGCCATGGTTCAAGCCCTAGCTGGCACTAAGTTGGCCATTTATCGGAAATACGTTATACATTTGAATATCTGACAGAAGCAGGAGAAACAATATGTTTTGTTATGGTAGAAGATGGGGGGGGGGGGGGCAGAAAATAATCAAATTTAAACATGACAATCATGCACGATTTCTAGGGAATAAAACGCTTATAGATAAATTTAGAAGAATCAATGAAAATAGTTTCATCACATACAATACAAAATCACTGTTTCATATAGCAAGAGCCCGAAAATAAGCCCTCTCTATTTGGCATAAATGTATTTTAGGAGGCATTGTGGGTAGACTTGATGGTACATTGTCTAGAGTTAAAACCTTTAAACTTGAAGTGGAAAAATCAGAAGATCTGCAGGACACTTACTTAACTGGGTCATTATTCGGTAAGTATTTTTCTCCAAAAAATTCATAATTATACATATACATTTATATCTCTCCAGTAAAGAGTGAAATTTAGGTTATTGTTCCTCAAGAAGTATTTGAAAAAAAATGATTTTCTTGTATGAAATTATTCAAATTATAGATACTCAATTCTGACTGTCTGCCTTATTAATTTTAGTAATTAACTTTTCAGGATATAGTATTGCAACTGGAAATTTAGGGGATAACTCACCCCATTTCGTGGTGGGCGCTCCTGGATTCGGCAACAAAAACGGAAATATTGGCGCCGTAAGCTGTCAAAGACACAGTTTACTCCAGGACATACTTAATTATAATCTAAGCATTTGATAATCATTTGATATATTTCAAACAGTGTCTTGTTTTTATTTACATTTTGGGGACGTTTTCCCTCTAAATGGCTCCTATTGTCTCTGTTTTATAAACGTAGTACATAGCGTAGATGTAGATAATATATTTTTATAATACAATTGTTGTAAGTCTCTATCTTCATATTTCAGTTCTCCATATTCAAAATTGGCGAACGTCCAATTCAAGTCAAACAGGTTGAGGGAATTCAGGTTGTACATGATTCCATATTAATATTTAATGGAAAAGAATTTATGTATAAAAATTTAAATTTTAAAAAATGTCACTTTCTACACACTCTTGCTAGAAGTATATCTTTATAAGGCTGGAGGTGGATTTGGTCAGACACTCTGTATTGCTGATGTAAATGGTGATAATAATGATGAAATCCTGGTCGCGGCACCAAATTGGTTTTCTGTACACGACCAAGGAGAACAAGTGATCAATGATATTGGAGCCGTTTACATATATTACGGCACAGGAACAGCGTTTGTAAGGCAACACTAAAAACATGTTCAATTTCTCCTATATTTATGGTATATCTCTTGTGCTCTAAAATTAATCTTAAATGAAGTTACTGTAATAAATTTAGCAATTATTATAAAAATTAATAAGGTTATGTTAAGGCTAGGTGGAATATTTTTTTCTTAAATTTTAGTAATATCAGACCCGAAGAAAACGAGCCAGAAGAATCGTATGCCCCCTTCCTCCAAAGGACAATATAATATACAATAGAAATTAAAAATAATTAACCCCATCTGTCCATCAATAATAACGGCTTTTTCTGCTTGTTTGCTGAAGCTCCCCCCCCCCTTCCCAAAGAAAAAATTCGGACCTCGATTTCGAAGCTGAAGATTAAAATACATGTATTCCCTTTTAATTCATATATTTTGGTGAAGAGTATTTCAGAGTAAGGTCATAAACTGTAATTCTTTCAGGTCATTGATAACAAGCCACAAGAACTACATGGTTCATTTTCTCCATTCTCAAGATTCGGGACTGCAATTGCTAATGTTGGTGACATAAACAGGGATGGATATAATGGTATGTCTGCAAGTTAAGCTCTGTGTCTTATATATGTTTATGGTAATCCTAAACACCTTCTATCCATTAAAACAATCGTTTCTACAATATTTTATCTAGTGTGCTAAGTGTTGGTATTTGACACAGTATAGTAATAATTTCATATTTTTTGGCATGTTGTACTTCGTCTCTGTTTCCACAAGGATCTAGAGAGAGTACTGTATAGACCCATAAAATATCCGAGAGGTAGGTTGTAGAAACAATGATTGAAAAGAACTGTAAGATGTAAGATCAAAAGATAAGGCTTTGCTATTACATTTAGTTGTAAGCCTTCATGGAATTTATTCTAGGATAGCTGTGTCATGGTGATCTAAACCATATCAATACTGTTCCTCCTATAAACCTTTTTTTTTCTCCAGAAGTTAACATGTGCAGTATTTAAGGAAAGACAAAATAGATAGGCCAAAACTCTCCCTAAATTCAAATTGTTTGAAATTTTGTTGTTGATGTGTAGTATGAAGCGTAAAAATAGAACATATGTAGCTCAGGAATCGCAAATTTACATGTAAATATGCTAGACTTTTAAAAGATCCCTTAAAAGAAAATCGACGTATAATTCAAATTAAGCAAAAAATCAAGAGAATGATTGAAATGGAAAAAAGATTAAAATGTGTCAAAATGAGGAAAATTAAGCCATATCTTTCAGATTTTTGGAGATTAAAAAAAAATTCAATGCAATTTTTTTTTTATAAAACTAGATAACCTTACAATATTTGACCTTTATTCTCTAAATATGACCTTGACCTTTACTGTACATAAAGCATGGAGATTCCTTATACAAATGTCAAAATATCAGGTCTCTACTACAAAGCAATCAATGGTTACATTCTATCTAATAACAGACGGTTATATCGTATGAAGATGACATGATAACATTGTAAATGTAGACTTGAGAATGTTCAATACATAAGATGTCTCTTTTTTTTCACAGAGAAGGATAAATATATGTCATAGTTTATATTTTTCCTTCCAAAGATAATTGATTATTGACATTAGAGTGATTTTATTCTTTTCTCTGGCATGTTTTGGAACAAATGAGTTAAAATTAATTTCACAGGTGTAACTACCTTAATCAGCAATATATAAAGAAGCCTTTCAAATTCAGTGAAGCTGATTCGATTTTCTTCTTCATTGCATTATTATGCCCCTGTAATCGAAGATTCGGGGACATAAAGTTTTTGCCCTGTCCGTCTGTCCGTCTAGCTGTCTGTTTGTTCGCAAAAACTTTAACCTTGCTTATAACTTTTGATTGGTCAGAGCTATGGCTTTCATATTTCACATGTGTTTTCCTTTTCGAAAGACCTTTCTTTCCATCATATGCGATCTTTTGACCTTGACCTCGGAATTTGACCCAATTTTGCAAAATTTTACCAAACTTTAACCTTGGCCATAACTTTTGAACAGTTGATACTATAGGGCTTTCATACTTCAAATGTGTAATCCTCGTGACAAGACCTTCATTAGGATACCAACAACTTTGACCCTGACCTAGGAGTTTGACCTACTTTTGAAAAACTGTAACCCTGGCCATAATTTTTGATCAGTTGGTAGTAGGGCTTTCATACTTTACATATGTAATCATTTTGACAAGACCTTTCTTTAGATACTAACAACTTTGACCCTTTAGCCTTGACCTTGAAGTTTGGCCTACTTTTGGAAAACTTTAACCTTTGCCATAACTTTTGAACAGTTGGGGCTACGGATTTCATACATCACATGTGTATTCCCTGTGACAAGGCCTTCCTTTGGATACCAACAATTCTAGCTCCTTGACCTTGACCTAGGAGTTTGACCTGCTTTTGAAAAATTATAACCTTTTCCATATCTTTTCAATGGTTGCTGCTAGGGCTTTCATATTTCACAGGTATATTCTTCGAGACAAAACCTTACTTTGGGTACCAACATATTTTTTTGCTTTTGAGAAAGTTTAACCTAGCTTCGCTTTAATTTGCCATACGAGGGTCTCAGTGATCTACAAACAAATCTTGTTGCAGAATGAGATAGGTCCATTTTATGTATAAAATTTCTCTTTAAATGACTTACAACTTTTATGTTTTTCCCATTTCAAACATCATATGAATATAAGTAGAGATTTAGTGTTTTCAATTTCATTTGAAAGTCCAGCTTTTGGAAGACAGGCTTTGTGAAATTACAATGTTCCTGCATTTTGCAGAAAATAGATGACTGTATTTACCTATCTTCATCACAATATAAAAATTAAACGCATCCTTCCATCCATAAAATATATGATTTTATGATATTCAGAAACATTCCTGTCATAAAATTGCAATTTGTGGATCAGAGGCAGTGCTTTATACGAAACTTAACCGTTTTGAAATTTACAGAACAAAACACTAAGTGAACCTTGCTCTTTCAGATGTTAAGTTTTGATGATTACCGTTTTGACTTTTAATTGTTCTTCAGATATAGCTATTGGAGCGCCATTCGAAAATAAAGAGGGGGCTGTTTACATTTTCAATGGAGGAAACACTCAATTGGAAGGCTTGTATTCACAGAAAATATTAGGATCCAATATAAAGCCAGTTCTTCAAGGATTTGGATGGTACATATCAAGAACAGCAAAGGATTTAGATGACAATATGTTTAATGGTAAAGGTTTGTGGAAAAATTAAAAAAAAAAAAAGAAGTATAATTATTGTATACGTCTATAGGTACAATTGCATAGTATGTTCAAAACATTCTAATAACGGACAACATAATTATGTTGAAGACATATATAAACTTTAAGCATATGTTTAACTTGTAATAAAGACATATTTTAAACGAAGGGTAAGCCTGTGTTTTAAACATTTGAAGGACGTATGCTTGATGCCAAAAAAGTAAAATTTATTGTATATACATGTAACATATGCTAAAAAATACATTATTGTACATTTATTTATTAATTCATATCGTAAACCTAACTATGTAAGTATACGTACATATATTTAGGTTCGTTCAAGTTTTATTTTACTTAGTCTTTAGTTATTTTAATTAAATTCTAAAAGATATTTTATATCTGACATTTAATTATGTCATAATGAAATTAAATTAATACATATACAATATTTTGTATTACATTATGATTTCAGATTTTGCTGTAGGAGCATACAGATCAGACACAGCTATAATACTAAGATCCAGGAACATTATTGATGTCAATTGTGAAATTACAACAAACCCCGACCGCATACCCCTAAACGCTAGCGGTACATCTTGCAGTTATGGTCGTGATTACAATCCCTGTTTCTCTGTGTCTCTATGTTTCAATTTCACCGGGGAGGGAATTGTGGATACTGGTATGTGAGCGCGCTATCCACAATAAGACTCTGCAGATAACAAATATAAATATTTTCCAATAAATATACAAATATTTGATGTTTTCCGATTTTAAAAAAAATATATGCAGCTATATCATTATGACAAAATATGATTTATGGAACAAGTCACATTTTTGCATTTTTTCATAAATAGACAATTTTTTGAAATCAAAAATATAACTGTTTTAGAGCATAAAGATGTGCTATATTTTTTCTGTCGCTACTTTATTTATCAAACATCATTTGGTGAAAATTTAAATTGAATTGGAGAAGCAATGACTGTGGAGTAGCAATCGCTAATTATAGATTATCAATGTATAAAAAGAAAATCAAGAGTGGCAAGATCATTGAACATCTAGAAACACCGAACTGTTTAAAAATCATGCATACGGGCAGGAATATGTCCAAAGAGACTAAATGGTATTGTATATGCTGCTGGTGATTGCCTACACGTATCTGGAAAGTGTTCAAATAGCTGCGTTTTAAGGGTGGAAGGATTGGCAATTTTTTTTGTGTATATGCCAATTTTTGTCAATCAAATCTTGCGATACCATGCTTATAGTCCAGACATTGTTTTTATGGATTTCGCATTGTTTACATGCATATCTGAACATTATACATTTATTGACTGGGTTCGAGGGCAACATGCGTTTTGTCGGACCCAAGAACCAAACTGTTGCCTGAGGCCTAACGGCCTCCGGCAACAGTTTGTTTCGAGGGTCCGACAAAACGCATTTTGCCCGAGAAACCAGTCAATAAATGTTTTGTTATGCCTTTCACTTTTTATCATAACATATTTAATAAATAAAACACAATTTATTTGCCATTAAACTTTATTTTAAACAGGTGAAAAAAGTACTCAGAATTATGAACACATAATGAAACTAATTTAGTTTGTGTATTTGTTAAAGACAATGGTACACTGGTTGAAGTTGCACGAATTAAAGTCTTGTTTTTGAGCATTTTTCTCATATGGGGAATCGAGGTTTGTAGACAGCATTGGTATTTCTAATAAATCAAGGTCACTCAAACTTAACACAGATTCTTCCGAAGTGTCTGCTCAGTGAGTGTTGTTTTCTATGTGACGGCCACAGTCTGGGGAAGAATTTTTTCGGACAAAGCGTTGGACATGCCATGGATCTTATTTTCACTGAGATGTGAAGAATAATGCTTAAGACTCGTCTCTGACTTATGTTTAGATATTCCGAAGATTTGTCTACCCTCATATCCGCTCTCGTCAAATAAGATAATACACGTGGCCCTGGTGCAATGATTAGTATAAACAAAATATAAGTTGGCATCTTTACTTATTGTCGCCATCATACAGCCCAGGGTATTTTTTCCCACAACCATGTTGTCATACCAGACTCCTGCTTGATCCGCCACATTTTTTTTAGGTCTCTGCCAGAGAAACTCACACGCTGGATTTAGCTTCGATATGTACTTCTTAAAACTGCTGACGGGACATGCTGGATTACCTGTAATTAAACAATGCCTCAATTAACTGTTTTTATAATGAAAATATACATGGTTGAATAAAGTCACAGGCACCTGATTTTTTGTTTTATAAAAAAGCCCTAGATTACCCCCCCCCCCTTTTTTTGTACAAAAACACAAGTTATATATTTACATGTTTTCATAAAGAGTGGGTAGGTTTTATCAGTTTATTTCAAATTTACCGTTAAGAATTATAGGAGCCTCTGATACAGTTCCAACCCAAGTTAAAAAAAAACTTACCGGGTTTTTTACATTCTAGCAGCCGTATTGTCATGGTCTCCTATAGCTTCACGATGATTTTTAGTAAGCCTGGACACATTGCTTCCGACATATCTCCTCCCCTCCGAATCTGCACGAATTTGGAAATCCGTTGGTTTCATATTGCGTAGATTCTCTCGTCCCCGATTGCAAAAAAAAAAAAAAAAAACATCATGATTTCAAAAAATACCTTTTGTTGTAAAGTTCTGGGTGTAGTTGTATCAAATACATTAGTTTTTTCATATCGGCATCAGAAATCGGTGTTTTATGTTCTGTTTGGATACCTTCCTTCTTTATTTTCACCAAAAAAGCACTGAACATGTCGTTAGCGCCTTTAAAATCACTGTCATTTATGATGTCCCACTTGTAAGATTTTAAAAAACTCTCTGCATGTAATCAAAATCGCATTGCTATCATTGTAGATCTCGCATATATTGTCCCATCTCTTTTTCGAACTTCACAATAAAACTTTTTCAGAAATTCGGCAGCTTCGTTCCTGCTTTTTCCATTTAAAAAAATTTCAACGGTGGATTCGTACTTGTGGGCTAGGTATTCCGACAAAATTCTTTCAGCCACTTTCACCACATTTTTCGTATTGCTGCTATCCCGGTTTTCCTTTATGTTTTTCAATTTCTTCGTCATTATATGAAGCAAACCTTCCATTTCCTTCCATGATTGCGATGCAGATGACAAAATTTGAATGTTAATTTCAATTATCCGTAATGCGGATTTAACTCGGTCAGTTTCGTAACTGTCGAATACAAACGGACTCGTGTCGTATAATTCCGCCGAAACTGCAAATTAAGCGTGACGTAAAATACCCCCCACAGCGGTCCAATATCTCGCTGACAGGTCCAATATCTTGCTCTGCGGGCAAACATATTTTTTTATGCCCGCTCAGTAAAACATTGGAAATGTTAGACTTTTTTTAAGTGTAGATTTATATAGAAACTTATTTTTAAAGGTATAACAATAAACTGTGCAAGGAGACAATATTTTAGGATCTAACTGTCATCCGAAAAGCCACAAAAAGACATATTTGAAAAAAATAACATTATCTCTCTCTCTCATCTATCTATCTATCTATCTATCTATCTATCCATTTAAAAGTGGGAAAAAATAAGACTTAGTGTGTAGAAATGAAGGATATTTAAAATCATTTCGAAAATTGACGGGTTGGAATCAGGTTGTCACGCCACCTAACATCAAAAACTTTAATTTGGCTGCTCCGTGAATCCTGTGACCCTAAAGTAAATAACATTGTATATTTTCAAAATAATTCTAAATTGACCCAACTTTTGGATACTTACCAGTGAAAGATAAAAATGTTTACTAATCAAACACGTGTCATTTTTTAAAGCACACAATATTTTTCCTGTAAATCACCGTGTCCGCATACTTTTCTAACATCCCTCGTAACTGTATTTCCTGGGTTTACCAGCAGTTGTATTCTTGAGAGACACTCGACTTGCTTATAATCTCTCACATTCTTTACGTAGTAATTTACTAAATTCAGTCTGTTTTTCAAATTACTTCGCACCCAGCGCATTCAATCATAGAAATATTACGAGATGAATTCACTATGAGTATTTTAAGGATTTAGATATAAGGAGATAACGAACAGTATTCAGGCTCAAAAGTCCATCAAGTAATACAAAATAGGAGCAGAGCAAACACGGACCCCCAAACATCAGAGGTGGGATCAGGTGCCATGGAGGAGTGAGCATCCCCTGCCGCCCGGTCACACCCGCCGTGTGCTCCTTGTCATGATTGTTTGTAATGATTCAACAAGTAACAGGGAAAAACATTAGGTACAATTTTAGAACTTGTGCTTTGTACAGGTATTAATGAACTTGCATTTTCCTCTCCATGGCAACTGATCCACCTCTGATGATTTTTGGAGGTCCGTGTTCGCTCTGCTCCAAAATTTGTATTGTTTAATGGACTTTTGAGTTTTAATACTGTTCATTATCTTCATATGTTTCATACACTTGATTGTTTTTTCTTTTTAATTATATGAATAAATTGAACTCTACCATTTCAAAGTCGTGGGTATCTTTGTCTATCTTTAATTGATGAGGTATTCAATAGATTTTTACATTTTTACATACTGATTCAGAAGTTTTCTCAGAGATCGAAAATAAAAGCAACAATTTTCGTTCATTATCACAATGTTGATCTTCAGAATCATTCCTGATTTTTTTTTTGCACTATATTAATATAAGGTTTGAATTACTAATGACACTGTTTTCCTATTTAGAAATTGATTTTACAATTACTATTGATGCAAACGAAACAAGGAAAAGGGCAGTAATTAACAGAAATGGTACACAATGGGGAGAAAGAGTTTCCAACTTCATCGTATTTTCAAATAAACCTCATTGTTATAATTTAGAGTTATGGGTGCCGGTAAGTTAACTTAATTTTTATTACAGCTAAATAACAGAACATTATATCATTGTTACATGTAATAATATGAAGAAGCGGTTGTGTTTTTGCTTTCAGTTCTTTATTTAACTTGAGCAGAATTGACTTTTCAAAATATTTCTTTCTCCCACAGAAAAGTAGGTTACATATTTAATCAATAAGTATTTATTAATATGAATTTTAAAAGGTCATTGACAGAAGATTTTTCCAAGTCATGGAGAAACCGATAGTTCTAAAGGCTGATTACGAAATAAGTAATTCTACAAAGCCCGGGAAAGTAAGAGCTATTCTGAAAAGGGACGTGACTCCAACCTTCTATGGAAAGGTAATTGCGTACTAGTAATTTTTTTTAAAAAATGATTGTCTAGTATTGTAGATAAACTGTTTTGATTTTTATGAAAAAAAATATATTCAGAAGGATGAATAATAAGTCTACTTATTAAAATTTATCTCAGACACCTTTCTTAGAGAAGTATAATCATTTATGTCTTAAAATGGAAACAATTTTTAAAAAAAGAGTTTACAGCACATTTTGTTTCAGAAAACATAGAGCACAAGCTAGCCTATCTACCAAATTATTTTTTTTCATACACTAGTATCAGATGCATCTTATGTATAAAAATCTCAGATAGGCAAGCTTGTGCTCTATGTTTTCCGAAGTGAAAAGTATCTCAAATTTGACAAAATTCCACCAGAATTGAAGAAATTCGGGAAAATGTTCTACTTTTGCACCCTCTTGTGACCTCCGTGTAAGCTTTGAATCAAAAGTAGTGCTGGTTTTAAAACAAGCATTTTAAGTTCTTAATTACAAACTATCACAGTTTTTACTGTCTTCTGATTTTTACATCAAATAAGGGGCCAAATTCGGACGTTACCATACCTTGTCCTTTGGCGATTTTTCCTAAATAAACGGCAGTTAATTTTAGCGAGAAGTAATTTTAGCGATTTCGTGATGCCTAGAAAGATAACGGTTAACTTCGATGTGGTATGAATTGTTAGTGATATTCATTTTTTTTTTTGCGATCTCAACACCCTCGCTAAAAATACCAAAATTTCCGCTTAAAATCTTTATTCAGGCACACTTTGACACTGGTTGTGAATCAGAAGATGGAACGTGTCAACCAAATCTGAGTCTTCATGTGACTTTGGACAAGAAAAGACTTCTCATCGGGAATGACACCATCTTACAAATGAAAATACTTTTGAAAAACTCCGGTGAACCGTCCTTCAAAACTTCACTCACAATTAACTACCCTGCGCTGGTAATATTCAATACAATAAAAATAAGTCAAGCTTCTGTAAAAATGTATTGTATGGAGATGAAAAACAATAATTCGATAGAATGTGAGATCGAAAATCCTTTTTATCAACGTATGAAAGGAGAACTAGACGTCTACTTTGAAATTTCCAAATATCTATTGGAGTTGGCTTCCGGTTATATAACTACACAAAGTCTTGTTTTCAATGCGACAGCCAGAACTGACAACGTTTACCCAGGAGATAACACAGTGTTTAGAGCTGTTGCAGTTGCTTCTTTTGCTGGAATAAATCTGCACATGTAAAATTATTTTGATTATTTATATACGATTTGCAATAGAAAAATATAATTAGATGAATTCAGTGGAGAAATCTAGTTTAAAGAATGTTTCACGAAAACTTCTTCAGCTTTAAATATTTCAAGTATCTCTCCAAGCGACTGCTAGTACATGTTAAGTAATGAAGAATTTTTTTTTTTCAAAACCTTGAAATATCTCTTCAGCAAAATTTGATTGATGAAACGATTTTTTCGTAATGTTACCTGCTAAGGTCTGCATTGGAAGAAGAGATTACGCCAGTCAACAATGATATACAGTTTTCAAACACTTACCGACTCCTCAACGAAGGACCTTGTGTTATAGAGAAGGTGGATCTTCAGTTCTTTATTCCTGTCAGGACCAAAGACAAAATCTTCATCAAAGAAGGCGATGTCAGGGTACAAATGTATAAGGAATATAAACAATAAAAGTGTCATCTCTCCATTCATTTTAAGGTCATCTGAGTCTTTCGGGTGACCTACATGTATTACTGTCTGTTTTCGTAGATTGCATTGTCGTCCGTCCTGCTTTTATATTTGATCGTTTCAAACTTCTCTTGAACCACTGAACCATTTCAACCACTTTTGTGTATAACAACAATGGATAAATGAGAACAAAAGTTATGAATTTTATGGTCTCTGCCACCCTTGGGCCTAAGGGTGGAGCCATAGCAATAAAAAATTAATGCAATCTTTAAAAAAAACCGTCTTTACTTCTGGGAATGCATCAAATATTCGAATTGTTGGCATTATTATAATAAGCATAAAACCCTCTATCAAAACTGTAAAATCTAATCCCCCGGGACCCGGGGTTCTGGTGTTAAGGTTGGGCTATAGGATCATATAGTCCAACTGCATATATTCTTTAAATATCTTCCTCTCTCCTCCTGTATATTTAGCAAACAAACTAATGCATAGTTATGATGAGCAAGATTTTTTTCCCAAAATTTTGAAACTAATTTAGGGGTTCTAGTGTTATCGTGGGAGCCTGTTACCAATATGTATTGAATTATTTATCGTTGCTTAAAGGGAATTGTTTCCTTTGTTTTTCACCTATGATAATAAATCACTATTATGTATTTGATAGGTGAATCGACGAATAAATATTAGACGAAAATATCTTATATATATTTGTATATAAAATATTATTCAAAGACCAAGAGATGCAAATGATATAGGGGTTTAGCTGGGTATACAATGTGAATACTGCCCGTTAAGGCTCTCGTTTTATACTATTGCGTGAAGTTTTATGATAGTGATAAAGAATAGTAAGCACTGGCAAATACAGACAAGTAAATAAGTCAACTTTCTTAGTTGTTGCTGGTTACCAGTCTAACCATATTATTGATCACTGACCTTTCTATATCCGTTGATTTTGAGCATCATATTTTCATCTCAACATCAGTCAAAAGCTCATTAGTGCATCTGTTGTTTTAATGGCCATACTGACTTAAAAGAGAGTTATCTTATCTATCAATTTAATTTGTTTAATTATGTTATTATTATAATGTCATTTCATGGATACTTTACAGGATTGTATTATACTCAGGTGACCGTTAAAACATTTGGTCCTCATGTTTTTGATATCACGTTTGACCACCATTGCCCTCACCTCTGCCTAGGCACTAAAATGATTCAAATTAGGCTTTCATATTCTTCATTTTCAAAACTCTCAGAAATTCGGATCTACATGATTACAACGTTTTTTGTTTACAAACATCAATTGTTAAAGAATTCACATCATAATTTTACATCAGAATTCAGGATATTGCATTAAAAAACTATGTATCATATGTATTTCTAAAAAAAATTTCAAAAGTTCTTGTATATTTTTCTTTTACAAAGGTACAAAGCAACCACGAAAATGTCCATTGCAAAGCTTCATACTATCCGCGCGTTAACTTTAATACTACCAATCAGTACCCTCTCAGCGGAAACGGAAGCAGCGTTTTCCTGTACAACAATTCCGACATAAAATTTATACCCAAAGATGTTCAGCCAATCATGGGATTACTGGAGAGCGCGCAATATATCGTAAGTTGTAAATTAAAACTCCTCCTATGATAACGATTTTTTCCAGAAAAGCAGGCAGATACTTATCAATGTCTGTTGCTTACCACGTGATTTCTGCATTAGCAGTCACATTGAACTTCCTTGTGTGCGATGTGAATTTAAAAAAAAAAACAACAAACTTTTCAACATTTAAAAATTTATACGACTACTACGACTCCAACTACTTCTACTGCTCCTAAAAAATGAAATACTGTAGCTATACATATGTACAGTAAATTCCTAAGTATATGCGAGGAATTAATTATCGCGTAGTTTCGCGAAAAGCACCAATCGCAAAAATAAAGTTACTCGCTTTTATTTTTATGGTACTGAAATCAATGTAAAATCTCTTGATCAACCGTTCACTCGCAAATTACTCTTTTCGAAATTGACGTAAAATATTCATTTTGCGATAAAAATTACTCGCGAAAAATTAGGAATCTTAAGTATTTCGTTTATGTATATTCACTTTAAAAATTAGTCTATATCAAAGAGTAGAATGTGTATTCATGTACACAATGTTAAACAACACTTATTATTATTGTGTAGATATTTTACATTGTTTTCATTAAGAATATTTATCATTCAATCAAAACCCATGCTTAGATATACGAAACCATGATTGGAATAGAATCTGTTAAGAAAAAAAAAACATTATCTTCTTTTAGTTTTGTGACAATATTGTTGGACCATACATGTGTGCAGTAGTGGATTGTACTCTGAATATGGTCAAGCCTGAGGACAGTGATAGCAGAACGTTCAGCTTACCCTTTAATATCCTCTTGAACGATCTACCCGATTTAGAAAAGGTAGAATACTTTTTTTAGCTAAACTGGGCCGAGGCTCAAATGAGTTTTTCTGACAAAAAATGCCCGGTGTCAGTCTGTCTGTCGTGTGTCTTGTGTTGTCTGTAACCTTTTCACATTTTCGACTTCTTCTCCAGAACCACAGAGCCAATTTCAACCAAATTTGCCACGAAGCATCCTTGGGTAAAGGGGTTTCAAGGTTGTTCACAGAAAGTGTCATGCTCTCTTTCAAGGGGAGATAATTAAGAATCAATGAAAGCATCCTCAGATAGCATAGATTAATTATTTTAAACTTGGTCCTAAGGGGTAAGACGAAGCCACAACAGAGGGTCAAAGTTTTACACAGGAATAGACAGGGAAATCTTTAGAATTCATCTTCTCAAGAACAGCAAAGACATTGTAAGTCATATTGATACAGAAGCATCCTCAGGTAATGTAGGTTCAAGTTTGTTCACATCATGACACCCGAGGTAGGTCAGGGCCACGACAGGGGTCTAAATTTTACATAGGAATATAAAGGAAAAATTCTTTACAAATTTTGTCTAGAACAGCAAAGTCATGATTAGTCATATTAATATAGAAGCATCCTCAGGTAGTGTAGGTTCAAGTTTGCTCGTATCATGACTGGGGTAGGGTTGGGCCACAACAGGGGGTTTAAGTTTTACACAGAAATATATAGGAAAAACGTTTTAAAATCATCTCAAGAACAGTAAATCCATTATTAGTCATATTAATATAGAAGCAACTTTAGGTAGTGTAGATTCAGGTTTGTATAATTCATGACCCATGGGGGTAGGCCGAGGCCACAACGAGGTACAAGTTATACATAGGAATATATTAGAAAAATCTTTTTAAAATCTTTTTCACAAGAGCAGCAAAGTCAAGATTAGTCATATTTATATGAAATCATCCTTAGTTTGCAGATTGAAATTTGTTCAAATCATCACTCCTTGGGTAGGGTGGGCCCGTAAAAAGTTATCAAAGTTTTACATATGAATATGTAAGAAAACGAATCTGCTGATAAAGAACAGAAGGGCCATAGTTGCTCTTGTATAATAGTTGCTCAGGTGAGCGTTGTGGCCCATGGAGCTCTTTTTTCTCGTCGTCCACTTTTTTGGTAAGTAGAAGTTTCCTTTGTCCAAGGACAAAACTTAACAATAACTCTTTCCTTTTTTTTATTGAACAGATTAAGTACCTAAATGTTTTTTTTAAATTATTTTTTATATTCATTCAGGGAAAATCTTTTTATACTTTTGTCACACGTGGTCGAGTGATCCAAAACAAGAGATTAAGTGTACCATTGGTGTTGAGTAACAACGTATCGGAAGAGGTAAAAACAAAGACTAAACTTCATGTTACTTTATTGTTTTATCTTGTTGTATAATGTTGTATATTTTGAATTTACTGGGTGAAGGTAAATGCCAAATTTACAACATAATGTTTTCATGTTGTAAATTTTGCATTAAAGACCGATTTTTTTTACCGTTACCAGAGGAGAGGGAGTGGTCTTAGTAGTACTGGTTTTAATTACCTGGAGAGCCCCAATACTTAAGATGTCAAAAATCCCTATACACATTGTAGTACACAGGAAGTCTGTCTTTGGTAATCAACATTACGCGTTTTTGTCTAATTTTGAGAGAAACTATTGTAAATGCTTTTTTATATTTTAATATAAAATTGGTTAATTAACGTTTTCATCGATATCTTTTGAAGAAAAAAATATATAGAAATATCTTGTTCTTCTTTTTTTTAAGAAAAAAAAAGTAAAATAAAATCACAAGTGAAAACTACAAAGCAATCATATCAATATTTTTTATTGTCAGTAAAAGAAATCATCATCCAATAAGTGAAAATATTGAAATAAAGAGAATTCATTTATCGTGTGGACAATCCGACATGTACCATAGCCAGAATATTATTTATTTTTATGGCTAACAATCGTGTCCAAAGTATTCACCACTGCAAATGCAATGGAGATTGAAAAAAATAAATCATAAAGTCAATTTTTAATTATCTACTCTCAATTACTTTGAAATACAATTACCAAACAATATTACAGCGATTTGATTTTTTTCTTACAAGAGTGTATACATACAAAGTGAAAGCGACTATTCAAGCGGTACATGAAAGCGTTTTACGCGTGGCCAGGTAACTCAGATAATCAGGTGGCACGGGTAGCTGGCCTGTCAATCAAATCATGATCAGTAGCTATTGTTTTTTTCCTGATTGACGGGCGGTATATTAATGATCTCGAATTAGGTTTTGGGGGCATTATCGTAAAATTGGGTGTTTAATCTCCACCTAGTAAATTCAAAGTTTACAACATTTTATTAGCATCGATCTTAAGGATAATGTTTACTGAAAGATTTGAAGTGTTTTCAACTGTTTTTATATCCCATGTAAAACTGTTTTAAATATAACGATATATACTTGCAAAATTATAATGGTTTCTATAGCCCTGTCTATACAAAAAACTTTATAGTCACAAATGTATATCTATAACTGTTATATGGCTCTTTCTTTTAGTTCATACTTTATATACGCCGCATTTTTAATTTAAATGATTGTATATAAACTTATCGTTGGTTATACGTTTATTTGCAGCTGACATTTGTATTTCAAATTGTTGAAACGAATTTTTCAACCAAAAAAAAAAAAAAAAAAAAAAAAAAAAAAAAAAAAAAAAAAAAAAAAAAAAAAACAATCATCGTTAATAATCACTTTTAAATTATTTTTTTGAATTTTCAATACGAATTGCATTTATTGGTTGTTATTTATTTTTATTTGACTATTATTTTTACAGATTTATGTTGCCATTATTCCTCAAAATTCCTTTTCCCTGGATGTTGAGAACGTAGACCTAATAGTTATAATTCTGGGCTCTTCTGGAAGCTTAATATTAATCATGCTGTTGGTAGCTATCTTGTGGAAGGTATGTTTTTTTTTAAAATGGATACATATACATGTACACTGTACATGTACATGAAGACATTTATTGAATTTAAAAGATTGGTATTTCAAATAACACTATTTCTCAAGATGTGGACTGAATTATGTTGTTCTTTTAATTATAAACTGTTATCCCCCCCCCCCCCCAAAAAAAAAATATATTCTCATTTCTTGGAATAAAATCACAGTGTAATGCATTATTTTAAAAACAGAGACTGCTGTTAATGTGAAATATTTCTTGATTTCTGAAAGATGTTTTAGAGTTTAATATATCTGTTTAATTCTGTTTGCTTCCGATTTTTGTGAAAAAATTAAATAAACATGACAATATTGAACGATTATTTATTATTGCTTGTTTTTTTTAATACAGTGTGGATTTTTCAAAAGAGAAAAAAGAAAACAGATTGAAGAATTTAAACGCAGAAGACGAAAAAGCCAAATGAAATCTATGAGGTGTCAGAAAGCGGTTCCAGAGTTGTAGCGCAAATTTTCCTACATAGTACAGTGTGGTTCTTCCTCCCGGAAAAACTGTCTATACTTTTTTAAGATATAGGGTATTACATATTGCAGATTTTGGCTCCAAATATTCCTGAACACGTAGTGTATTAATGAACATGGCAACATCCAGATAGATACATGTATCGTTATGACCTACTTTTATACATCTACAATTATACTATATCCTTCTTTAGTTAATAGATTGTAATAAAACTTATTCTTAATCATGCTAGAGAAATGTCTAATAAGGTTATTTTAGTTTCTAAGTCCTTTATTACAGTAATCAATCCCCTATATTTATTGACATAATTAAAAACAGATTTTTAATTTTGTACATCACTTGTTTTATCTGGCTTACAAAAAATTAATATGAAAAAAAAAAAACCCAATCAAAATGGATTTAAATTCTGTGGAAATTTTTCCTCTAAATTTCCCAACCTCAGTGACGATTTGCGCTGACATAAAAGAAAAAAATATCTATCACAGCTTCTACTCAATTTGCAAATACCTATCCTGATATTAAAATTTGTATGTTCAGTGGAGTTTGTAAACTACTGTGTATTTTAGTTGAAAAAAGAATATCCAGTAAATCAGCAATAGATCGGAACGAGAAAAATATTCTGGATAATTGATTTGATTAAAGTCAATTCGATTTACAGATTTGATTGATTGATTGTATGTTGTTTTACGTCCCATTCGAGAATTTTTCACTCATGTAGAGACGTCACCATATATCAGTGAAGGGCTTCAAATTTAGACCTTTACTTGGCACTCAGGGCCATTGAGCAGAGATGGTTCTTCAAGGTATCACACCGGCAATTGTAGTTCCATACATAATAAAGAAATATTTTTTTTTATTGTGAGAAATTTTTTAATTTCCCTTATTCTATTTTTACATTTTTGGTATCTGTGCTTAGGATATTTTATGTACTTTGTAAAATATTAAAGGTTTTTGACAGGAACTATTTCTTTCGGGGCATAGGAGGCCACTTCCTGGGGTGCACACAGGATGTTTATAAACACATTGAATACACGTGGTTTTGAGGGTATTCCTGTTTGCGGATGGAAAAAATCAGAAAATGCCGTGTAGGTACCCTATTTTTTGGTGTCAGCTGATGTGACTGGTAACGTTTAACACTTCCTGCTAAATATTTTTTCATGAATTCGAATACCTGATTTTTAATGATTTTTTATTCTATATAGAATTACATAGTGAAAACAATTACCGGTGTGATACCTTTATCGTGCCAATGCCTACACAGTGTACCGTGACACGGTGCCTCGGTTTATAAGGTCTCATTCGAAAGATCGTTGACTTTCACTTCTAGTGCCGGGCGCGTGGCGAAGGAACAGTCACTATCTATGTTAACATCTTAGGTTTGACGCAGTGCGACAAACGAGAATCGTACCCGGGCCTCCTGATCACGAAGCGAGCGCCCTACCACTAGGCTACCTTGACCGGTTCTATGGATTGAAAAAAAAATCTGGCTAAAATATACATGTGGTTAATAGGACAAAACAATACGATATAACTTTAAAATACCCTATTAGAAGGGAATCGTACTCGGAAAATTACACATCTTTGATTTACTAGTTTTACTTTATATTATAACTAAATAAACAATATTGAATTGATTTTATCATTAGAAATACATGTATATAATTTTTCATTATTTAAACTAGATATATTAAATGTTTCTTCAAATATCAAAATTATTGCAAAGAATTCTTTTGTCATAAACTTAACCGGGGGGGGGGGGGGAGCGGGAAAACTATATGTGTGGGACTTCTCCCTGGTGGAAATTTTAATAAAAAGAGGTATTTTCAACAGCTAGCGTACCGTGTGTTTGGGTTGGAAGTGGGGGGGGGGGGGCACCTACATGTATTTCAGCCAGTATTCCGGAAAAAGACACACCGAAAGAAGGTGGGAGGGGGGAAATGACTTTACAACACTGTACGTGTCTAATCATTCTTAACACCAGAAGATCAAGGGATATAATTTAAATTTTCTGAAATCGATGATAATTTTTTTCAACACAATTTTTTTCACATTTAGCGTGTAACTGTGACCAATTCCTCATAGGCCTATGACAAAAATAAATACATGTAGAAAATCCACAACCTATACAAGAAATTAAAGAGGATGAAACATTCAATAAGTCGTATGATTAAGTCTATTAGGTACTTTGGTTGTTTAAGGCAGGAAACATTTTTTTATTTGCGGAATGTGTTATGAATTCGTGCACTCTGAGAACATGTTTCTCATGTAATAAAGGCATAATGAAAGCTATCCTAATTTAGATAGCTTGGTATGTAATTACATAAGTGCCTCACTTTTGAAAATATAATAATAATAATGATGAGAGTATTTTGCTCAACATCAGATACTTTGGCTTCATATGCTTGATCTCCACATTTTTTCGACAGCCCCCCCCCCCCAAAAAAAAAAAAATTAAAAGATCATATACTGGTATAGTTTAAAGAAGTTTGAGATATCCTTGTAATCATCAAATGAAAAGATTATTGTTCTCTTCATACACACACGAGTACACAAATACTTTCAAACATTCACACTCTACAAAAGACCAGCATTTTGTGATGAATAAGACATCTGCCTAAAAACTTAAATAGTTGGCAGTAGTTGAAAACTTCTGAGCTTAAGCAATCTCCATTTTGATTTTTAACAAGAGGCCCAAGGGCCTTAACGGTCACCTGAGTATAATACAACAATTTAGAAGTTAAATACACTGATAGATGAAGCTTTGTTGCCCTAAAGCAAGAGAAGTAGGAAGATCAGGATCAACAAAATAATTAGTCAAGTATTCAGTATCAACTCATAAATTAAGTTCTTATCTGTCCCCACTTAACACTATCACCATGCAGACTATTAACAAACTATTAGTGCTTCTGTACTATTTTTAAACCCATATTAACACCTCTAGCATTGACCTCTCTTATGGTCTTTGAAGAACTTTTAATAAGATAAGTTATTTTTGTCTCATTTTTATTTATCTATTACTTACAGGTCTACCTGATTATTAAAACTAAGAAAGTACTTTTTGAATTATACGATAAACATTCTTGCATAATTATCTTATTAACCTTTCAAATACATTATTTACAGTGATTAATTATCAAAGGTGAATGGAAAACGGGATTAACTTCTCTCAGTAGAATACAAATTAATAGAGCCCTGCCCAGGACCAGAATGCTTAGACAAATGGTCCAGATATTCAAAAATCTGTTAGAAATACGCTTACTTATATCATTTAAACTTTTACTCAGTTTGCTTCCGATATGCCCAGAAGCAGAGAAGAATATCACAGGTACAATGTATTTTCACTACAGATTCAACAAAGCCTTACCCTAACACCAGAACCCAAGACCAAGGATCAAGAAATTAACAAATTTGGAAGAGTTACCCTCATCATCATAACAATGGACTTCAAAGAATTAACACTTCTTTTCCTCTATATTATCAAAAGTCCCTCCCCCCCTCGTTATGCCAGAACCCCTGACCCTAGGACCACAAGATTTAAAAATTCTGTTCGAAGCTCCCATTTTCATCATCGCTAAGCAATTTATTTATCAGCTCAATACTAAGGAGCAGACAGGATTAATTAATGATTAATTAATAGAATTAATGCTTTTTCACTATATAATCAATAGAGCCCCCCCCCCTCCTCAAGAGCCCCAAAAACTGAGGCCATATATTTAAAAATTTTGGAAGAGGCATCCGTGCCTATCATAATCATGCACTTAGTTTGTTTAAATAATCTCCAGGAGCAGAGAAGAAGATTTTCAAAGAATAATGCATTTTCACTATATAATCAATAGAGCCCCGCCCTAACACCAGAACCCCTAACCCTGGGGCCATGAAATTCATAATTTTTGAAAAGGCATCCTTATGCATCATAACCATGCACTTAGTTTGTTTAAATAATCTCCAGTAGCAGAGAAGAAGATTTTCAAAGAATCAATGCATTTTCACTATATAATCAATAGAGCCCCGCCCTAACACCAGAACCCCTGACCCTGGGGCCATGAATTTCACAATTTTGGAAGAGGCACTCTTGCTCTTCATAACTATGTACTTAGTTACTTTATTTAATACCCAGGAGCAGAGAAGAAGATTTTCAAAGAATTAATGCATTTCACTATATAATCAATAGAGCCCTGTCCTAACACCAGAACCCCTGACCCTGGGGCCCTGAATTTCACAATTTTGGAAGAGGCACTCTTGCTCTTCATAACTATGTACTTAGTTACTTTATTTAATACCCAGGAGCAGAAAAGAAGATTTTCAAAGAAATAATGCACTTTCACTATATGATCTATATAGTCCCACCCTGGGGCCAGAACCCCTGACCCTGGGGCCATGAATTTCACAATTTTGGTAGAGGGCTCAATGCTTATTACAATAATGCCAACAGTTTGACTGCTTGATGTCCAGGAGTAAAGAAGACGATTTTTAAAGATTGCATTATTTTTCGTGGTTTTAGCCCCACCCCTCAGGCCCCAGGGGGGCAGGGACCATGAAATTCACAATTTTTGTTTCCCTTCACCCATAGATGCTATATGCCAAATTTGGTTGAAATTGGTTAAGCGGTTTCAGAGAAGAAACTAAAAATGTTCAAATGTTAACACACGACGCACGCCGACAGACGAGAACGGATAGCAATAGGTCACCTGAGCGACTCAGGTGACCTAAAAAGTAGGTGACAACCTAAGAAGACAGTCTAGGCAACGTCCACATCGATCAAAGAAATGGGTTGCAACCAATCAAGGTGTCGCAACGTCTTCTTAGAAGTAGGTGTCAGTATGTATAACCAAGGACAGATTCACTTTATACATGTACCAATTAATGGTTTATTTTATATACTGCTTTTCAATGTTAAATGTACTTTATTATGTTTTTTTCTCTTTATTTTACTCTCTCTTTCTCTGGATTCACCTTATATAAGTACCAATTAATGATCTATTTTACATACTGTTTTCAATGTTAAATGTACCAATAATTGTTATATGTACCTTGACCTATGGAGAGAACGATTATAGGCATTATGCCTGCTGTTCAATCCATTTCATTTGTAATGAATAAATACATTTTAAACTAAGGACAGAGTACTTCATCACCTAATGTGATCGCTCTCTTGTAATATAAAGAAATATATGGAGATAACAAACAATATTCAAGTTTAAAAGTCCATTACACAATACATATTTTGGAGCAGAGCAAACACAGACCTCTAAAACATCAGAGGTGGAATCAGGTGCCATGGAGGAGTGAGCATCCCCTGCCTACCGGTCACGCCATATATTATATAAATGGTGCCTGTTTTGGAGGGTAACAGTTGAAATTGACACCCCAAGGAAAACCATTGCCAACCGACGCGTCAGCTTAAAATTATGAGCTAGGGTTCAGTCCCCCCTCCTCCCACCCCGTTTTGGATTTCATAAACCGCGGCGTTAAATCTTTTCTTAATATTTTTTTAAGCAGTAAATATTTTATTATGGTTCCAGAAGACAGTTAGTCTGTAACAATACCGTCTCTATTTGTAAGGCTCATTTTTATAACGGTAGTTTAGAAGAACTTTATTTTAATTCTACATCTGGAAATCCTACTTATACTCACAGTTCACTTTTTAAGGATGATATACTTCAAAATCACATTTCAATCTTAAATACTTTTAACATTCCAGTCAACAAAGCTGACTGCGATCTACCCTACCTATACTGGATTCCTAAACTTCATAAAATACCCAACAAAAAAAGGATATATTTCGGGATCCAGCAAATGCTCTACCAAATCCCTACCTTTACTCTTCACAAAATACTAAATGTTGTAAAGGAGAAACCTCAGAGGTACTGTGCTACAGTATCTTCTAGAAGTGATGTAAAGCAAAATGTGGATTCTCAAAAACTACATAGAACTTTTGGAAAACTTAAAATCACAGAATGTTTAAAAAGAAAGTAACAACAAAACGTACATGTACCGGTATGCCTTTTCTACACTTTACACAACCATTCCTCACGATAAATTAAAAAGTTGGCTTTTTGGTATCATAGACAACTGCTTCCTCGATAAGAATAAACTTAAAAATTTCGATACTCAAGTGCATGCTCTGAGTACGATCAATCTAAATCGAGGTTGGCTACTGACGATAATTTGATGTTACAGTGATTTCAAAACCCTTTTTAAGTCAGCATTTCGTAAATTCCATGGTCGTTATAACGACCTCGTTAGAAAATATAACCTAAAACTTATATTTCATACCAATTTTTAGGGCCTTCGTTTTAATACTTAATTTGACTACGGACTATTCCGTCTACCTGATCAATACACAGGGCTCCGGCGGGTGTGTCAGGTTGACAGAGGATGTTTACTCCTCCTAGACACCTGATCCCACCTCTGGAATTTCCGGGGGTTCTGACACAGATTTATCGTTTGTACTTTTTTTTTTTTTTTAGATCGATCACTGTTTGTTGTCTTCACCGTTTTAGTGCATTGGAAAAACATTTTTTTAAAACAAGTTATCTCTATTTATTCATTGCTTGACTATGTGTTTTATGCGGTTTGTTATTTGAATATCCAACCAATAGGCAGTTGGATGTTTGAATATCCAATTGGTTCACAGTTGGAACTTTATATATACGACTAGTGCTGGTTGAAAAGTTAACATATTAACAAATAACAATGAGTTACGTCATTGAAGTTTTAACGTAGTACTTACAAAACACCTGCTAAATCAGATTTAGATTCTATCTTCTCAACACGCTAAATAAATAAATAAAATCTTAATAATGTTATAACTAAATGATGTTTTGAACAAAATATCATAGACTTTGATAGGTATTTGCCAAATTATGACATTCTAAACATCGGAAATGTCCAATGTGTTTATTTCACATATGTGACATTTAACTTCTAATAATGAAGGGTAACTTTTGATTCTTTTATAAACAGTAGAAACCTGAATGTCAAGATTATATCTTGATACTAAAGGTCAAATATGATGACGTCATTTATCGATTTTTTAAATTTTCTCTTAGATTTTATCATACTTACAACTTTACAATTATATACATGTACAACTCATGGATAAATTTTCCTTGTTTAAAATATTTCAATTCTTAAAACTATTTCAATTAACCTTTTAAATGTTCATAAAATTTGAATCATGCATTCTCTTCATAGTACAGATCTCAAAAATCCCCACTCAAAAATTATATAATTTTATGTTCTATTTTTACACCACAGCGCACACAATGAAACCAATTACAATATCTTACATTTTCTTTAAGATTGGCAGCTTTAAAATAATTCTAAACACGAAAAAAATATACATGCATTGAGATAAAAAGAAGAAGAAAAGAAAATATATTAAAAAGGAAGTCACTGTTCAAAGAGACTGTTCCTCGAATATTATTGGGAAGTCAAAATGTTGCCTTTGGACTAAGAGAATTTTGTATTCCATCACATGTATTTTTGCTAAACTTTTTCCCCCATCATACTAAATCTTTTTAAGGTATAACACTTTAAAAGATCTTCATAATAATTGTTCCTCTGTTGGTACATATACCAATACCAGCACTATTTTTTTAAATCAAATACTAGTATGTACAGAATAAAGTCATAAAGTTACGCGATCTTTGCATTGCATCTTAGAAATTGTCGGTAAAATACGTATACACGTATGTTGCAGTTTCATTTGTTTAGAGTCTTGCATATTCAAATTCTGATGTATTCATAGTATTTGACTTTGAAATGCCAACTCTACTCATAAATTTAATATAATAATGAACTCTAGATCTATTAACTTACATGTATGACTTATACATGTATTAGAAATATGTTTCTTCTTTCCAAATAAAGATAATCTAAATGCTGTAAAATTAATGTAGCCTATTTATTTTTCAAAATGCTTCATATTATAAAACAATTTATGAATGAAAATTGAATGCACAATATTTTTTGTAACTTAATACAAGTAAATTTAAAAAAAAAAAACATGATGGACCTTTGAGAAAATGTTCCATAATTAATTCATAAAGTCTTATTTATACATGTACTTTAAATTTACCTACAACATGTACATGTTGAAATTCATTTTGATAAAATTTACAATCACTATGTTCACTGCAGAATCAGTCTTCTAAATCTAACTCCAAGTCTTCAATCTCATCCACTAATTCTTGTCTCTTTGCTACCTTTGCAAGCTGCTCTTTTTCAGGACTTTTTAGTTCACCTGAGTCAATTTTAGCTTTTAAGTCATCCACTTGTTTTAATTTCTTTCTCAAGTTCCTAAGTTTCTTTTCTATAGCTGCTTTATCACTTGGTGGGGCCTGCTTCTGAGAATCTTCAGAAATTTTAGAAGCTGCCAGAGTCTGAGTTACGTTATCCACACTTTCCCCCCTCCCTGCTGTGCCAGATTCCTGCTGCTGTTTTTTCTTTTCTTTCCGCTTGGCATTCTTTTTAGCAGACTTTGACATGGGTTGGCTATCGGATTTTTTTGTTGCCTCCACATCATCTGGGTTTAGACCGGGTGGCAGGGTTGGTCGACTCTTCATCCACTGCACTCCCCGATTTTCATATCTACAAAATGTCCAAAAATAAAAATAATAAGCAATAAAACTTGCTTCCCATAAAATAATAACATTTGTTGAAATTTAATAATATACTGTGTACAACAAAATTTGTATTCAAAGGTTCACCAAGAATTAAAACAGTACATAAAGCTGCAAAGTTAACATAAAATTTTTATTTGAAATTTGCCTGAACTTAAAAACTGTTGAACTTTGTTATTTCCAGCACTAATATTATATTGAATATGAGGGATATTTCTAAAAAAAAAAAAAAAATAAAGGGGGGGGGGGAGGTATGTACACAATGTAAAAGGGTCAAAGATTGAAACTTTGCTATAAAATTTGGGTTCAACAGCAATATCTCAAACCCTCATATAAATGGAATTTTTTTTTTAAAAAAGTGAAATGTTTGAAACAGTATCACAACAAAATATAAAGTGGGCATTACGTTTTAAAATAGAGTTACATAATCATGATAATGTTCAAGCCTAGTTGTACACTGGTTAACATGTTAAAAGATATGTCAGATAACCCTGTAAAATATTAATGAATTTTTAATGATTAATTGATAATAAGCAGGACGGCCTAACTTTTACAACTGTTTTAGTCTCACCATCCATTTTGGTGCCGTCACACTAATCTAGTACATGCGTACCAATAACACCCAAGAGCCCACTTAAATTAACTCATAACGATAAAGAGCTCCACATAAGTAAAATGCGAAGGTGAAAGTGCGAAGTTGCAAGGCGAAAGTGCAAAGTTGCAAAGGCAAAAGTGCGATATTAGTATCGCTCCTTCACCTTCGCACCCTCGCCTTCACATCTTCACGCTTTGCCGTCGCATCTTCACACTTTCGCTTCTTCACCTTCGCAACTTCGCACTTTCTCCTTCGCAACTTCGCTATCTCGCATCTTCGCCCTGAAGGCTAGTGTGAGAAGGTGCGAGTGGCGCCAACGGAACACCATAGTATACAGTTCTAACTTACAGAGGCTATAAAGGACTTACACAGGTATACAGAACTGACAGAGGGTATACAGAACTGACACAGGGTATACAGAACTTACACAGGCTAAACAGGACTTATACAGGCTATACAGGACTTACACAGGCTATACAGAACTTACACAGGCTATACAGAACTTACACAGGCTATACAGGACTTATACAGGCTATACAGGACTTACACAGGCTATACAGGACTCACACAGGCTAAACAGGACTCACACAGGCTATACAGGACTTAAACAGGTATACAGAACTTACACAGGCTATACAGAACTGACACAGGCTATACAGAATTTACACAGGCTATACAGAATTTACACAGGCTAGCTATACAGGACTTACACAGGCTAGACTTACACAGGGTATACAGAACTTACACAGGGTATACAGAACTGACACAGGCTATACAGGACTTAAACAGGTATACAGAACTTACACAGGCTAAACAGAACTTACACAGGCTATACAGGAATTATACAGGCTATAAAGGACTTACACAGGCTATACAGAATTTACACAGGCTATATAGAACTTACACAGGAACTTCCTCCTGGGGAACATATCCATCTTTAACTTTTCTGGGCTTTCTCCATGTTCCATCAGGTCGACGTGTGGCAGGGATATAAAGCTCACCTGAAATAGAAAAAAAAACTAAGTGAGATAGGACATACATGTAGAAAGGCATGATCAACATTCAGTAAGGATCATAATCAGTGATGATTCTATGAATTGGCCAAAATGTCTTAAATTTTTTTGAGGTGGAGGGGGTGCCAAAATAAGGGCTTTATGGAGTCCTGAAAATGCTTAAATGAGTGACAAGTATTGAATTTTGACAGTTTGTTCAACAACTGTTACATCCTAACCTGGCTGAATAAACAGCCACGCCATTGTAAGGAAGTTTGAATCATCCTTACGCTTGTGTTTACCTTACTTAGAGATAAAACCAAATGTCTGAATGATGCAGACTAGAACAAAACATGGACTAAACAACTTGAATAAACGAATACCTGAATAAACTACCCCCGGACAGAAACGGACCAGGATCGATGCAAAATTAGAAAGTACCAAAAACATCAGAAAACTGGTTCATGTCGGATTTTTGGATTCAAATTAGCGGAATTCCGCTTAATATCGGAACAGAATCATCACTGCATAATACATGTAATAAATTTTCCATCACTTTAGACTAAGTCTGTACTTCAGAATTAATAAAGGTTGACTCTCATGTACAATGAAGAATGCATATGAAATATAGATTGAACATCATGGACAACAATGCTGGCCATGTTTATACATCTGTTTTACTGTACACAAGATATATCTGAAAATGTAACAGATATTTGCATATTCTTATAAGAAAGAGCTGAATCCAAAGGCACTGATAGATTTTCACCAGTTTTGATTAGAATTGATGTGTATCAAAGATTTTTTTCTATCCAGCTGGTAAACTGATAAACTTGTCAGATGTGTCTGAGTTTCCTGAAGACACTGTTTGCATTGGTTTCAATACAAAATCAATTATTTTTTTCTTAGTCAAATGATTAGCAATTTTAATGTGTAAAACAAGTAGGGAGAAAAAACCATGGATCAAAATTTATACCCAGGCCCCCTAAACTCTCAAATCCAAGAAACACATCAATTCTGAAAACATCAGAGGTAGAGGTGGGATCTGGTGCAATGGAGGAGTAAACATCTCCTAAAGATTGGTCATAACCACCGTGTGCCCCCTTTGCATGATCAAGTAAACAGAGAAATCCATAGACAATCCAGTATGAAAAAAATGGCCTAACAATTAATGTAAGAAAGATGTCAGTAAACATACAATCTAATGACAGATTGCATCAAACAAGGTCAATGAATTAACCATTGATATTGGGAAATGTTGACGTTAAACAACATTAAAGATAACCTTGATTCATCAATATATTTGTCAGTAGTCTGCTTCATTTTAGAATATGCTCTTACAAAAAACAACAACATTTTCTTGCCTATCCAATCAACTGGGAGACATAAACCTCATATATTTCAGTGATAATGCCAGATATGTTGACAGTGCGACTGTTGGGGCTAGCTACTGGATGCCTATTCATTTTTATCTTAAGTTAAATTAGATCCCCTCCTTCAAACCGCAAGACATTTTGAATACTACATCATAGGTCAATTGTATATTTCCAGATCAGAGTCTTAAAAGTGCAATTTTTTTTTATCAAAGAGCATTCAATATACAATCTAATCTGCAATTTCCTCTAAAGTACAGTTAGTTTGAATCAATTTTATTTGTGTACGTTAGTTGTAACCACGAGAACGTAATTTGCTGCAAGATGCATTTTGCAAAGGATTGTGGGTCCAGAGGTTAATTAGGGAGAAAAATCACTTGGATCAATGTGTACAGTCTTAATTTTCTCTTTACCCAGTCTTTGCTTTCGAGCTCGCTGCACTCGATATTACCTCTACTCAATTAAGGTAAATTTACGATAGAAAAGTTGAAGTCATCATATTTACTGTACTGGTAATTAAAAGTAATTTTCTTAAACACAGAAATCAATATGTGCATGGTACTATGCAGGGTTTTCAATATAAAAAATTGGGCAGTTGAATTGAAAATGTGAGGTGGATCCAACCAAGACTGAAGTGCCACGGGCAAGAAAAACCTAAGGGGGGGGGGGGGTCTGGGGGCACCCCCCCCCCCTTCCAGAAAATTTTGTAAAAAAAAGTGCAAATTTTTGCATTCTGGGATCATCTGGAAGACTAGAGGATTATTACTATAAAAGCTGTCCCCCTTATGTGAAAATTCAAAGCAAATAAAGTCAACAAAATTGATAAAAGCGACATGATTTATTAATGTAGGTTGAACGATATTTAAATATGTGACAGATTTAATTATTTAATAATTAGAAAGCTGAGGCTAGTAAGCCCTATGCAGACTTACAGATGGCTCAATCATATACTATAGACTTTTTTTTGGATTATATACTAGCTAGAAATAAATTAAAATATTGAGCCTGTCAAAAATTTTATTGAAAAAGTTCTAGTTCTATACACTTTCACAATTATAAATTAACTGATTTGACAGTTGTTGAAGCAAGCCAACATTTAGAAATTATGACGAGACAAATTTGGGTTTGATACCTAATCATATTACATACAAATTGTTTTTAGAAGATCTTAGAGTGAGTTATTTCAGTAGCCTACCCAGGTTTCCTGTCATCTGTCAAATTACATTGCTGTTTCATCAAGTCTGTTCAATTTCATGAATGAAAGTTTATTTTATAATAAATATATTTGCTTCAAGAACATGATGAAGCCTTATACCCTCAGATTTACTCATTTAGGTCTCTTTCTAAATGAACTTGAAATTGGTGCTTGCTCAAGAGATCGTTTCATGTTTACATTTGGAACACTTCTGATTTTTCATTACATACTCAACATTTGGAATACCTTGGATAATAGCCATTTGTAAAGCAATTACGTTCCATCACGAAACTTCTGTTTACATTTGAGCTACAGTGTATATACAGAGCATCCTCTGCTTAACAACCCAGAAAAGTACAAGGACTATATAATTTGAATAAACAACCACAATTTAATCAGAACATAACTCAAAACAGTGTTATTGTGTGCATTACTCTAGAGGAATTTCGAGCCAGCGATTCCTGTTAATCAAAACGGGGACATTTAGCCAGGTACCGGTGCTTATTATTATTAATATTACATGTACATGTACTATGAGATGCACAGTTTTCTAGCTACAAGCCTGTGTGTTAAGGTTGTCTTGAGCGATAGAGTGCCTAGACTTGCTTGTCCGAGGTTCAAATGTAACAGGAAAGGAGTAAAAATGTGACAGACCAGACCATGATTTGAACCCAGACCCCCTGAATCACTAGTCAGGTGTTCTGCCAAATGAGCTATCTGGCCAACAGCGATCAAATCCGTCTGACCATCCTCCCTCCTTAAAGGTCTGGGACCCCAAAGACAAACCCAGGCTCTTCCTTGGCAGGTCTTTCTCATGTCACTTCCAGGGCATGGCGTGGCACAAAATTAACAGGCAAGGAAAAAATGAGATGGTTCAGACCAGGATTCGTAACCTGGCCCCCTGAATCTCCAGTCAGGTGTTTTAGCAACTGAGCTATCTGGCCACCGGCGATCGAACCGTCCAACCGCCACAGACCATTAAAAAAAAATAAGACGCGAGCCTTTGGATCAGTTGTACTTAAGAACTATGACGAGTACATAAAACTTCTTTAATTATGTATATTTAGGCGTATCATTGCTTTCCTTTATAAAATGAGCACACATATTGCAAATAATTATCAACATTATTCCATCTAATCGGTAGCGCAGCATCCGACTCAAAGCCAAAGCTATTCGTTTATCTATAACCACTGATAACCATGAAAGAATGATAAAATTCAAGTTATGCACACATATACATTTCTTTTTTTTACAAAAAAGGTTCCAATATATTACCTGTCTTCTCATCTTTAACAACACCTTCTCGCTCAGGAACAAAATCCATGAGAAGGGGTTAATATTTTCACTAGTAACTCAGGTTGAAGGTAAGGTTTGAAGAAATTCGAACTAGAACTCTTCTGTATTTAAAGATAAAAATGTGAAAACGTAATTCTAATTCTGTATTATACACTGCATCATGTACTTATCCGGAAAAGTTTCTTTATTGAATATACAGAAAAAGAATGGATTTTAAGAAAATATACAAAAAACCAGATTCCACTCGGTGATGGATAATCTTGTGGACATCTTTCAACCTCTCTTCCTTTCTCTTGTTCAGATTGTTCAGTTACTGCCCACCGGGGGCTGGCCGGGGTATTTTAGTCACTGTGATAGAAGTTAAATTAGTCAATCTAAAAGCTAGTACCCCTAATGTGTTGGGAACAGCAAATTAATAAAAAATATAACAGGTCTAGAGATGGACTGTCTATTAAATAAAATGCAAATGTAAATGTATTAGGAATAAGCGATAAAACTTAAATTACATGCATGTAAGTATATTTATACCCGCTCTCTACAGTTCTGGAATCAGAACGGAAACAAAATTTTAGTGTACTTTTGGAAACCTACTCTCTGGTGAAAAAAATGTTGTAGATACTACCAACAGACAAATGTCAGGTATATAAAGACTTTATTAATTTTTAATTGTCAAGAAAAATTTAAATATTTACAATGAACATGTATGTACAGAATTAATCCAATGTCATTTTGACTATGCCTGTTCGTGTTGGTTGATTTTTTTTTTTTTGGGGGGGGGGGGGTTGTTTCAAAAACCACAATTTGTATTGAGTTGTGCTCCCTCCCCACGCGAACTGAATTTGTTTTCTACGGGCCTAGTTTTATTTCATCCTCGGGGCAGTTATTGCATGCAATAACATTTTCATAAAACTTCAATAAGATTTTGATCTTTATGTAAAATATTACGACTTTATTAATTTGCCATTAGCAAAAACCAATTAAATAAAAGATAATTGGTCTTTTAATTAATTTTCAGAAAGATTTATGCCATCGTTATCATAAACGAATATCACGCACCTGTTCTGTTGTATGGTTAGATGGTATCAATAAAACTGAAAACAACACCCGGTGAATTATTCACTGTGTACAACGGAGGAAGCATTGGCATCTTTACGCTCAGGTAAGGCTTCATCGTCAATGCTACTTACCTGTATATAATTATTGTGCTTGATAAAACTTAACATAATTGAAAATGAAAAGAAATATGTCTCGTTTAATTTCACAACCTATAACATATATTAACCCCAAATTAAAAAAAAAATGAATATAGAATTTTAAAAAAAGTTCGTGAAATATAGCTGATCATCCATAATTGAGTAAATAACAAATTTAGTTGTATTCAACTATAAATCTATTTTACAAAAATTCTTCCATTATAAAAGTGAGTTAAGCATTGCCAGAATCGACAAAAAATAATGTTTAACGTTAATTTCTTTAATTGGTTTTGAATTTTTGAAAAGAAATAATATAGAAAGTAAACATTTTGGAATGATAAATAAAATGAAGTTAATAATTTAAAAAAACAAAAGCTTAGATTTGAATGAAAGAGAAAAACCCTCCCAGCATATGTTTAAGAAATGCTTTTATTTTTGTTGAATAGTGATAGAATGTACGAGTCTGAAATTCTAATCACGCTAGTTAAAATTATTTTCATTCGTTTACAGGAAATGAAGCATCTGTGTATTTTACTTTTGCTTTCGATGTGCCATTTATCAGGTAAGACATTTATGTATCTCTTGTGTTTCTGTTTTGTTTCTTTCTCTTGTTATTCTTTGCTTGAGTTGGGTAGGGGTATCAGTTTTCTATAGATAAAAGAAAACCTAGTGACTTCAGAACTATTACTTCAGTCTTGTTAACACATTAACTAAGGTATAATTCATTAAAAAGACAATGATATAAATGTCAATGAATAAAGAAAAAAAAAATGATTGGATTTTTACATTAGTTCGAGTCATTTGGAACAAACACACTGTTTTAGCGATCCAAAGGCTCTGATGGCTTTGTATAATCCAGAAAAAAGCGATATGGTCAGTAAAGTATGTCAACAGAAAAAAAGTACTCGATGTGCAGATTTACATGTACATATACATGCATCTTGCCTCTAATAATTATAAAATTTGAATATCCGAGCTCAGGGACTAAAATGGAAATAAAGTCAATTATAAAATACAATCTCCGGGAAAAGTATACACTTTGAAGCATACATACACGTGTATATATGGTAGTGTATGGAGCAAATAATAGAGCATTGTAAGTACTTTGTTTAGAAAATTAAAACAGATGCGATATGAAATAATAGAATTTGAAAGTTTTCATGCGATAGAAAAACGTGGTCTTGCAGCAAGTTTCTCTTAATTAAATTCGTCGTCGCGTTTGACTGATTTCTTTAGATATTAAAAGCATAATTAATATTCATGATTTTTTTTTTGACAAGAATCTAATGAAACGTATTTTATATCTACATACAAGTACACTTTATTTGTCGAAAAATTTCAGTTTAACAAAAGCAATTTTAATGTCGAATATTATTTTTCTCCACTGCAAGTATATAAAGATTTGGATTTATTAAGATTCTAAAATATTGTTTTCATCAAGAACTAAATGAGAAAAAAAATACTACATGAACCTATATGCACCTATACACGTTCTCTCAAGTTCAAGTTCATTTCACTCAAAACCAGGTAAATATATGGTACTGTACATGAAGACAATGAAAAATATTTACAGCATATAAATTCAGGTCAGAGGTACAAGTATATGATATACATATTCAGAAAATGAAATTGAAAGAGGACAAAAAAAGAAGAAAAAAAGATAAATACATATACATTGTAATAAATATAATAATGGTATAAATGAGGAAAAAAATCATGGAGGACAAACTACATGTAAATCATATATTTTTAATATAAAAGTACAGAGTTTTTTCAGTGTCTTAGCATCTTGTTTTGTCATCAATTGAGAAAATTAAAGTATATTTGATCTAGTAAAGTAGTATTCATTAATATACTTTTTCCTAATGTTTGACAATGCAGTGCATTCAAGTATAAAATGAAATTCATCAGCAACGTGTTTGGTTTTACAAAGTATACATAATCTTTCATTTAATGGTATACCTGCCCATCTTCTCAGCTCAAATGGTAGACGGTGATTAGAAGTGCGGAATTTTACAAGTATTCTTTTTAAACTTTAATGGCAAAATACTTAAATACTTTTGACATTCAAATTTATTTTAAAAAGTTTATTATACACAAAACCCTTGGATGAACTATTAATGTCAGCATGCCATTTTGTATGAATTGATCCTGTAATCGTTGCTTTAAAACAGTAGTAACCCAATCTTGATCAAGACTATCACAGAACTGTCCATTCCAAATATTAGATAGTCCACAAGAATCGAAAATACGATGCACACAATCAATCCATGGATTCTTACCAATTTCAGAATTAGAGATTAAATATTTATATAAAATACATGATGTTTTGTTTCCGGGGCTGTTAATTAATTTACACCAGTAAGAAACAATCCTGGAATAAAGCAGGACAGATAATGGAAAGCGTCCTGTTTCACCAAAAACTATATACATAAAATTTGGAATACTTCTTTTCAAGTAAAATATATGTTTCAAAAATTTAAATGAACACGCTCAATAATGTCTAAGTTTTCAAAACCCCAGATTTCACAACCATAGAGTAACACTGGTGCAACCATTTTATCGAACAATTCAAATTGACATGTTACAGGGAGGTTGAATTGTCTAATTTTTCTGATTACACCATACATTGCTTTTTGGGCTTTGTCACACAGATATTTCTTGACTTTTAAAAAGGAACCAGATCTTGAAAAAAAAATCCAAGATATTTAAATTCTTTTTACATTTTCTTGACTCTTGTTATTGTAGTAAAATTCTCTTTTGAATAAAGAACTTTTTGAAAAAAATTAATATTTTTGTCTTGTCAGTATTAACTTGCAATTTCCACTCCCTACAATAGCATTCAAATTCATTCAAAGCATCCTGTAGATCATCAGGAGTTTCTGCTAAAATGACAGTATCATCAGCATATAAAAGTATAAGAAGTTTTAAGTACATGCATAATAATTATTCATTTTCTATAGAAGTAGTAAGGCTTTTTAAATAAATTAAATTTTTATCAACAAGGTAATTTTCAAGGTCATTAATGTACAGAGAAAATAAAAAGGGGGATAAGTTTTCCCCTTGCCGGACTCCGACATTACAAAAGAAAAAAAATCAGTTGTAGTGCCATTCATCTTAACAAGTGATTTAAAGCCTTGATACATGTTGGTAATATATACTTGAAGCATTTTGAAGCATTTGCCTTTAATTCAATAATTTAGAAGTTTACTCCAAACACCCATTTTTCAAACAGTATCATACGCTGGTTTGAAGTCTATTAAAGCACAAAAAAGTTTTTTCTTGCACTTCATCAGTGTGTTTGATAAAAAATGTAAAGTCAGAATATCGTCTAAAGTAGAATATTTGCCGTTAATCACTCATGTATTTAAACATTTTTCAGTTGCTATTACTCGATTTTACGATTGTGACGTGTACGGGCCCTCTGATCCTAACCCCTATCTCTCCCCCAAAGCTGGCTATGACGATAAAATCTGCATCCAGGATTTTACGGAAGGCGTGTTCTACTGTAAATGGTGGACATGCCAAACCCCACCCTGTCCACGTGATCAGGAATTAAGCTCCGCCTACAACAAATGCCCTTACTGTGAAGGTTAGTAATGCATAATCTCTTGGGCATAATAATTATTGCGTGGTAATTTTATTTAGATATTTCGTGAAATTTATCGAGATGATTAGTAGTAGACTTTTCTCAGAAAACAATCAATTTCTCTGTGTCGCATTAATTTGTGAATGTATTGGTAAGTACATATAAAATCCGTCATAAAATTATATATATAAATTTCTTCTTGTTTCCCACAGGTACCTGTAGTAATGGCGGAGTAATTCACGATGTAGGAACTTCCTTTTTATGTGCGGATGGATACAACATCTGTCGCTGTGGTAAAACTGGTGTTGTGTCTACATCCTATGCAATGACGAACAAGTTTTCCCTCTGTGGTGCTCCAATAGAAGCATGATAAAATTCAAATATGTTGCAATTATAATTAATAAATGAGTCATTCCACATTTACAGAAAAACACAGGGGGATTCAGTTTGGGCATTATCAAATTGAATATATCCGCAAATGCATTTTGAACGAGAGGTAATAGTTATCTTTCTTGGCGTTATTTTATAAATTCGTTTACATTACTTTTTGTTAGAAATATAACGATTTTTTTATACGGACAAATCGCTAAAATTGAGTCTCACTGATACCACTTATACATGCAGTACATGTATGTGATAAAGCATCAATATTGTGTATTAACCGCTGGTTAGCAATGGCGGACCTGTTTGCATTCTCAGGGAACTAGTATATAGGTCCCTGACATTCTTTAAATCGTATTTGTTATGAATGGGCGAATTTGTACCTATTCAATATAAAATTCTTATAGGGTATGTATAAAAATCGTCATAAAAAAAGAAATGTCACATGGACATTGTAATTGGTGATTAGCATATTGTTTGATACACAATATACATACATACATACATACATACATACATACATACACACATACATACATACATATATATATATATATATAGAGAGAGAGAGAGAGAGAGAGATGGGTCAAGTTATGCTACACTATGTCACCAAGGAATTTATATAACAGCGCCCGCGTGGCGCAGTGGTAGACTCTGAGCGTCTGCGATTAGCCTAGAGTCGCAGAGTAAAGTGCTAATTCTTGTGCCGCGGGTTCGAATCCACTAAGGGACGTGGGAGACCGGTCCATGAAATTTATATAAGTACAGATAAATTTAAAACAAAAATTAAAGGAATGGTTGTAATAACATTTTGTACAGGTATATACAAGTGTGTGTGTGTGTTTTGAAAAGGGGGGGGGGGGTCTCTACCTTTAATATACAATTAATGTATAAGAATTATATGCATGTACATTCAAAATATAATTTATTTTGATACTTACCGAAAAAGTTATTTTCAAACATAAATACATGTACAAGTTTACTAAATGAAAAGAATTTTTCTGTAACGAAGAGAATTACTGTTAACAGAGGCAGTTCAAGTTGTTTTGCTTTGGATTCTCATTATGTTCACATTGTACCAATTTGTCTTGTTTCGTGTGATTGAATTTTTCGATACTTTACTTTTGGTAAACCGTATTCGCATGAATTAGAGACATCGACTCTATGTATACTGTTTGGGATTGGGATGCTGGGGAAGAAACAAAGATGTCTGATTCAGTTCCCGAGGAAAAGTTCGACTGTTTAATAACCTGCTATGCCCAGAGATTCATCGTTTCATACTCTGAACTCAATGGCATCTCCTCGGACCTTTCCGGCAAGCTCAGAAAATAACTATTATCGGAAAAGGCCCGAGAAGATGCGATCTCTTTGAATTCAATGCTGTGAATTTTAATGATAAAAAGAGACACTTTTAAAAATATTAAAAAAAAACCCACAAAACAATAAAACCAGTTGGAACAAGCTACAGATTGAGAATCAGAACAAATCATTTTATTTTGTTCTATTTCATTTATTTATATAATGATCAACATTTCAACTGACCTGCATAGGACAAAAAAACAAAACAAAACAAAACAAAACAAAACAAAAAAACATAGAGTTTCTTTTTCTATGGGTGGGGTCCATTATAAGTATAAAAATGTGAGTAAATTTAATCACTTATCAGTTTATATGTATGAAATATTTTTCGTAATATTTGTAAACAAGACTTAGTGCAAAGCTTTCAAATATGTAAAAACGGAAGTGATGGCTTACATCTAAATTTAACTGAATAAAAAAAATCTAACTGACGAGACTGTAGCTTCACTGGTTTGTACCTATAGCAAAGGAAGAGAAAAGTAGCACTTGCACTTGAAAGTCTCTTTTTGTGACAAGATTTATTGCAATCAGACTAAAACTGTTAAAGGAGTAGCCTTTTGAAAGAATTTCACAGAGATTTCTGTTTTAGTAACCATGGTAAGACCCTCATCAAAATCAGAAAACAATAAACAGAATTATGTATCTCCGTGTAGTCTTCTGGTGTGCCAAGTTTTATTGAAATCACACCAAAAATGTAGGAGGAGTAGCATTATGAAAAAAAAACACAGACAGACAGACAGCTGTGAATGACTTTATGCTTTAAAGTTTTTTTCTATCTATATCGTTTTAATGTTGAACATGAATAATTTTACAAATTTAGAATTAAAAAAAACTACAATTTGTAATATACAAAAGAATGTTTGAATGGCAAATATACGTAACCATTATTCTCATGAAAAGTAATAGATGCTTGATTTGTTACACCAACAAAACAAAAAACTAATTGTCCATCGTTTAACAATTTCTCAGCCAGCTTCCTTGTGACAACACTTCCCAGTTTGAGTCTTCTGTAGTCTGACTCTACATGTAACATACCGACTCCACCGTATTCCTGCTGAAACTCCCAGGCAACAGGACGTCCATCCTCGGTTTCAATACAGACTGTTGGCAAATTATCAATTTGATGACGTATCCATTGTCTGAGGTCACCATAAAGTTCAAATTTATCTTTACAGCGCCATGAATTGCGTATATATTCCACGTGATCTTGTCGTAAATGGGATAGCTTGAATCCATCTGGAATCTTTCTTATGTTATAAAACATGTGATAAAAAGATACCAATTAAATTTAGTTTTGATTAAAATAATAAAAAAAAAAACATATGTACGATAATAATGAATCTTTATAATAAATATAATGAATCTTAAGTTTATAATTAGCATACCTGGTACTCAATAATTAAACTTTAATTTACTTAGAGGAAATTGAAATAAATACTTACAGTGGAAGAATCTTATCAGGTGGCAATGTAAAAACAAAATCAACACCGCCTCCGCTCTGGACTGGAGTAGACTCTGTCGATTTGAATAAGTCTATCAAGGCATTCTTCACATCCGGAGTACAACCTGAAACAACAATTGTCTGGACAGCTATTGCTCTCTTTATTCAATAAATATGACCCATTTTTGTTATAATAAAAACACTTACACTTTACACGTACCTCAATTGTAAAAGAAATAATATGTTTAGAACTTTTCTTTTTGTTTCATTCAAACAATTTTGAATGAAGTATAATACAAAGGAAAGGCTTAGCTTGCATATTGATGACAAATGATACCCATGTAAATCTTGAATACTTTATACTTAAAACAAAAGGAATCTTGTTGCTCTATTAAGCCATGAAAGTGTGAAATTTATCATTCATATTGACGAGATTGCAGTTGTTTAATTTTTTAGATGTATTCACAAAAAACAGTAGTGTAATAAAATGAAATTATCTAAATAAATTGTCATGCACCGGTGTATTAATATCTTGTTCTCAGAGTTTTAGTTGTTTATTGGCTCCATTCATTTTTAATTGTTTATTGGCTCTATTCACCTGCAATGACTAAAGGAGATGCTATCGCCGTGGAAGCATGGCGCAACAGGTTTTCTAGGTATTGACAGAAAGATGGTCCTTTACAGAAAATGATAGCCAATTGCACAGTCTTATTTTTCTGTAAAAAAAAAAAAAAAGCGAAAAAATACAGCCAAAAAAAAAAAAAAAAAAAAAAAAAAAAAAAAAAAAAAAAAAAAAAAAAGAAGAAAGAAAACAGAAAAGAAGACAGAAAAGAAAACAGAAATACAAAATACAAACAAACAAAATTGGTACTTTGCTATCAACGAAAACAGCAGCAGAAAAATCTGGCCAGCTGTCCACCAGGACAGATTTATCTGTCAGTAGTCCTCTCTTCAGCAATTTGAAGTGATTGTAAGCCTTAAAAAACACGACAATTCATGTATGTCTAAAAATACACTTCCATCCAAGTAGGTATCTGGCAATAGAATTAACGGATTGTAATATAATAATTATTGTATTATTGAAAGATCATCTTGAATGGTCGTGTTCAGTCAACGAAAATTATGAGTATGCCTGACAAACTGCATTAATTTATAAAAAAGAAAAAAATGAAGATTTTTACAAGAATGCACTATAAAAGTACATCATCTGGAAATTTAAATGGTAAAAAATCAATACGGTTTGGAGATATAACAAAATTTATTCATAAAGTTTCAGTAAGTGATAACAAAGAACACAAGGATACAAAACTTTTATAGACTATAAAATAAAACAATAATAAACAACAGTCAAACATACACACAGAGATACAGGTAAGGCAGTCTCCAAGTCCTTCTCCAACTTGTCATATTGTGTTGGATCTACATGTAACACCTGCATCGCCATTTTGTCCTATTGTTACTGAACCGTGACTGGTATTCTTTATATACGAGTATCTATGCTACCTGTAGATTATGTCATATGAACCAAAAAGAAAAAACTGGGTTACGTTGAATATTTAATCATGCATCCTCTTTGCTAGCCTGTCACCTGCGTGGCGCAGTAGTTGCAGCGTTTGCTCTAGAGTCACGGAGTAGGAGTTGATTCTTGCATCACGGGTTCGAATCCCACAGCGAGACCCGAAGACCGGTCTTTCGGATGAGACCGTATTATCGGAGGTTCCATGTCGCAGTAGGTGTTGACACGAAAACGATCCCTCGATCACTGCTCAGAGGCCGTAAGTGCCGAGCACAGGTCTAAATTTGCAGCCCTCCACCGGCAAGTGGTGGCTTCTCAATATAAGTCAAAAATTCTCTAAGGGACGTTAAACAAACGAGCAAACAATCTTTGCTAGCCAAGGTTCCGATGATAATTCGTTGTCGCTGAATTTATATATATATATATATATATATATATATATATATATATATATATATATATATATATATATATATATATATATATATATATATATAGATGAATTGCAGTATTTGTAATCAGGAATTTCATTTATTTCCTGAATTTGGAAAAACATGAAATTCCTACTCCGCTCAGGAAATACGAGTATAGATTCACTTTCCATTTAAAATAACTGATAAAAAGAAGAGGATTTTTACGCAGAAACTCTGTACATGGTATCAAAATGATATGTCTGAAAAGCTCTTAAATTTTTACAAAAAGAAATTTTAGAAAGAATACACTGACTCTTGAACAGAATCAAAATTTTTAACTTTGTGAATAATAAAATTTTCTTTATTTCTCAACTCAAAATGATAATTGAAAACTGGGATAACATCAATAAGCAATAGTTTTTTTTAATTGAATTAAGCAAAATCCTATAAAAATAAGAGATGGATTTCTTATACAAAGAGAAATTCATTCAATCATTGTTCCATATAACGTCTGTATATCTCTTAATAAAAACAGTAAAGATAACGAAGAGTGACCATTTCATAAATCCTTTAAACAATACAAATCATGAACAGTGTAAAAATAAGGACCCCTGGAACACCAGAGGTGGGATCAGGTGCCAAGAGGGAGTAAGCATCCCCTTTCGACCAGACAAACCCTCTGATCCCTTTGTATTGATCAGGTAAAGGGAGTTATCCGTTGTCAAAATTAGTTTAAAAAAATGACCTAATTGAACCATTTATCAGTTAAAATACGACTAAACTAAAGATGGTATTTGATTATAACGGCCATGGACATTACCAAATGTTGACTTTAAACGAAATTATTGGTGACCATGTAAACTCAACTTGTCAACTGTCTGTCTGGGTTTAAAAATTGAAATCTTCTTTGGTAGAAGTGTTTATAAAAAAATCATTTTTAAAAAAAAATAAATAAAAAAGATCGGCTAATAAAATGGCACAATTTTTGCCCACCTTAGCATTTTATGAACGCTATGAATTGGAAGACCTATTCTCCAAAGATTGTATAGGTATTGTCAATAAGGAACCCCAGCATTCTCTTACTATCAATTTCAAAGTAATTGTGTATGGAACGCCATAGCTGTCTTAAGGGTACAAAATATGCATCATAGCGTCAATTTTACATAACATTAAGTCTATTCATTATATCATTAAGTCCACATTATATAATATGTAGTACAGAATTAATATCATTAAGTCCACATTATATAATATGTAATACAGAATTAATATCATTAAGTCCACTTTATATAACATGTAGTACAGAATTTATATCATTAAGTCCACTTTATATAACATATAGTACACAATTTATAGCATTAAGTCCACTTTATATAACATGTAGTACAGAATTTATATCATTAAGTCCACATTATATAATATGTAGTACAGAATTAATATCATTAAGTCCACTTTATATAACATGTAGTACAGAATTTATATCATTAAGTCCACTTTATATATTATGTAGTCCACTTTATATAATATGTAGTAAAAAATATGCATCATAGTGTCAATTTTACATAACATTAAGTCTATCCTTTATATCATTAAGTCCCCTTTATATAATATGTAGTACAGAAGCTATAATATGTTGTCAAATTAAAATACTATATAGTCTGATGCCTAAAACATTAAGTCTATCCTTTATATTAAGTCCACTTTATATAATATGTAGTCTATTCTTTATATCATTAAGTCCACTTTATATAATATGTAGTCTATTCTTTATATCATTAAGTCCACTTTATATTATATGTAGTACAGAAGCTTTATTATGCAGTCAAATTAAAATAATACATACATTTATACATATAACATGCAGCCAAAAGCTCATGTAACATTGTCAAAACTATATATCATAAAGCCGTTTCCGTACAATACAGTAAGTTATTTGTATATATCATGCACTGTTACAATAATAGGATGGTCAAATAAGTTTTGTTTAGTCACTTTCAGGTAACATATAGATAAATTGTGCTAAAATTGCAAATATGTCCATTTGGATATCAGTAAAAGGCTAGTTTTGACGAAATGGACGAAATTCTGAGAAGATTGGGTATGGAAGACCATTTAGTGAGTTTCCAAGAGAAAAATATTTCTCCTGATATTGTGGGGTTATTGTCGTCCCAAGAAATGCTATGTCTAGGAATTTGCAACAAAGCGGATATGGTTAAACTCCCAAATGAATGCATCACCTACGGTTTTCAGACACCTGAGCGGGAGCATACTGGTTGTGGTCCAGCAGAATTTGTAATACCAGGAAGTATAATGCAAAACCTGATTAATGATGGGTTTACTATAACAGAAATTTCCAGACTACTTTCTATATCTGAGAGTACTGTATATCGCAGAATGCGAAAATTTGGAATATCAAAACAAAGTTTTTCAGAGATGGGCGATGATGAACTAGACGAACATGTAACGAATGCATCTGAAAGTTTTCCGCATTGTGGAGAGAACATTTTAAGTCAAATACCGAAACAAAAATGTGTTAATGTACAGCGATGGAGACTTAGAGAAAGCCTACATCGTGTCAACGCAATGGGTGTAAAGGACAGAAGAAAAGGTCGTTTAAAGCGTAGGGTGTATGATGTGAAAGGGCCTAACCATCTTTGGCATGTAGATACCAACCATAAACTAATTCGTTGGCATTTAGTCATCGCAGGGGGCATTGATGGTTTTAGTCGTATGGTTATTTACTTGAGATGTCTGGACAATAATAAAGCAGATACACTTTTAGAATGCTTTCGTGTTGGCGTTTCTCGTTTTGGATTACCAGTTAGAGTGCGTTCGGACAAAGGTTTGGAAAATTCAGCTATTGCGGATTACATGATCTCTAACAGAGGGTCAGGTAAAGGAAGCATGCTAACAGATAAAAGTGTTCACAATCAGAGAATTGAACGTCTGTGGAGAGACGTTTATACCGGTGTTCTTTCCTTTTTTTACAAATTATTCTATCACATGGAGGACAACGGGATATTAGATCCACTGGACAATCTGCATATTGCAGCTCTCCATTATATATTTGTTCCACAAATAAACGAAAAGCTGAAAATCTGGGAAAAGGCCTGGGCTACACACAGAATGAGAACAACAAAATCATCCCCACTTGGTTTATGGGATGCAGGACAACTTCAAAATCCTACAGGTATAGATTTTGTTGATGTCAATTATGGAACAGAAGGCTTTGTTCTGGAAGCTGACAATAATGAAGAAGACGAGAGACCAATTATTTCTTCTGTGTCTAGGGGTATCATCACTGCTGGATGTAAAGAGCAGCTTGATAATGAAGTGCCAAGAGCAGGGAACTTAACAAATTTTGGGATAGATATGTACATGAAGTCTCTTCAAATCATAAAGAATCATCAATAAAATTAACCATATTCAATGAACCTTCAATGCAAATATCCACAGTACAAAACACAACAATAAATTTTCTGACATTTTATTCATTCTCAAAGACAACTCAGTGGTTTGAAATTAATTTGTGCATGCATTGCTGTGTTAAAAAAATGGTCATGAGCATAATCATAATAAAGAACTTATTAAATACATTAATTTTCACCTGAATACATTATCTGATGTATTTTAACATAAAATAAAACTTTTGAACAGAACAATCTAATATGTACCATGTTTGCGGCATACATTGCGTCCAGAACAAGAAGCCTATTGTCCTTAAAAGTCACCCGAGTATAAGAATCCATAGAAATGCAATTCAATAATTACACTACTGTCCTACGTAGTATTTCATTGGTTATGATGCATGGATAGAGAGATAAATGATCTAAACACTACTGAGTATTCAAGATATTGTAAAATTTGTGAAACATTGGGTAGGGTCATGGGGGAGGAGGATTAACTTATGATAATCCTAAGAGGCACTGTCCTGTGCATTATCAAATTGTCATCATGCATGAATAAAAATTATTAGGTTAATGAAGGTATCTAAAGAGTATTCAAGTTATTAAATAATTAATGGCAAGAGACCCTTGGGACACATCGCTCACCTGAGCACTTTGGCTGGGAAAAAGCAGGAAATTAATCAGTTCAGTACTGAAAAGTATAAATATGACCAATCACAGCTTTGCTGTTCTCGAGAAGGAGATTTTTAAAGATTTTTCCTATGTATTCCTATGTAAAACTTTGATCTCCCATTGTGGCCCCACCCTATCCCCAGGGGTCATGATTTGAACAAACTTGAATCTACACTACCTGAGGATGTTTCCACATAAGTTTCATCTTTCCTGGCCCAGTGGTTCTTGAGAAGAAGATTTTTAAATGATGCCATTATTTTTTCACTAATTCCTAATTATCTCCCCTTGAAAGAGGGCTTGGCCCTTCATTTGAACAAACTTGAATCCCCTTTACCCAAGGATGCTTTGTGGCAAGTTTGGTTGAATTTGGCCCAGTGGTTCTTGAGAAGAAGATGAAAATGTGAAAAGTTTACAACAACAACAACAACGC